GGAAATTAAAATATGTAGGGAGTGCAAGTAAATTTTCAAATGAGTCTTTATTATTACTAATTTCTAATTTTGTAATTACAGGTAAATGGTAGCTGCCTAAAGGGTCATCAGAAACAGACCATTCACATCTCAAAGCCAAAGAGGGTGATACTAGTGTTAAATCCAAAGCATTCCTTTGCCATACACTAGAGCCAATAGTTGTCAGCTGACCATCATTTAGGAGTACTAAGTTGTTGTCATTGATGCTTTCAATAATATCGCGCCCACGTGAATCAATAGAGCTACAGCCCCATGCTGTATGCCGGGCGTTAAAATCGCCAGCAATCAGCAAAGGCCCAGGGATACTGCTGATTAAATAATCAAGTTTTGATTTAGAAAATGAAGGGTTACAGTTACCTGGACTATATAAAGACACAAGAGAAATTTCTTGATTTCCATAATACAATCTTACAGCTATATTTTGAATTGAATCATCAAATGATGTATCTATCTTATGGAATTGCAAACTATTATGAATAAAAATGGCAACGCCATTATGGCGGTTACCTGAATCTAGTCTAATTATATCATAACTTTTGAGAGTAAACTGAATGTGTGGTTTTAACCATGTCTCAGAAATCAAAGCTACATGAATCTGATTCTCTTGTAGAAAATTTGTTAATAAGTATCTGTGTGCAGGTAAACTCTGAGCATTCCATTGCATTATATTTAAAAAATCCATAAAAAAAAAAAAAATTAAGTGTTTTGTTTCTTATTTTTATTTATTGTTTCCAAGAGAGTATCTTTTATACTCTGTGTGGAAATAGCTGTTTCATTGTTTTTGTTCATTGTTATTAATTTGACAATTGACTCTACAACCATATTCAAAATAAAATCAGAGTTTAATAGCAATGCTAGCATATCAGTGGGGCTTTGTTTCAAGGGAGGGAATGATTTCTCATTAATTACAGCAGAGTATGTTTTATTCTGAGCCTTTTCTCTATTTAATAATATTTTTTCTTTTTTTACAGGGCACTGTGACGAAATAGCCACATGGTTCCCCTTGCAATGACAACATACAGCATCCTGACTTGATTTTGTACAGAGTTTAAAGTTATGTGACTCACCACATATGGAGCATCGTTCTGCATTCTTACAAAATTTGGCAATATGTCCATACCTCAGGCACTTAAGACACTGCTTGACTGGGGGTATGTAGGGTCGTAATTCGAAACGCCAGCTGTTGAGGTCGACACTCTCAGGTAATACTGGGCATGAAAATGTGATAGAAACTGTCTTTGTCGGCTCCAATTTATTTTCACCATTATCAGTCCTTATTCTTCTCATAAAACGTCGAATGCTTACGATATTTTTTGTAGAAGTCAATGCAGAGTATATTTGTTCATTCGATAATTCTGTGGGCACATGAGTGATGACACCTGTGACTTCGCTAGCTGCTGCCGGAATAGATGCCGACAGGTTGTATGCTTCCAAGAATTTTCTATTCTGTAATGCCGCGTTAGCCAGACCAGGACGTTCAAATACCACACCGATTTTATATTTATTCACTCTTCGCAACTGTTTTACACCTTTGTTATATCGCTTCAAGCAGTTTGCTAATCCCATCATGTCTCGATTACCAATAGGCTGATCAGATTTTGTACTCTCAATGAATACCACATATTCGAAACTTCCGCCTTGTTCTGGGTAAAATCGAACGTAATTAGGGATTCGGAAATCTTTATATTTGTTTAAGCTTTCTTTTTTCTCTTCTAGAGACTGTATGGAGGAGACGTCGCTAAAGTTAGAATCTTCAGAGCCATCTCCATCCACGCCGCCTTGTTCATCTAATTGTTCTTTCCTTTTTCTACTCTTCCTATTCCTCATTTTTTTAATACACTATGTACACACTTATTATTAAAGACTATTCAAAACACTATTCACAATAAATATATACAAAATTAATAAATTTAGTTTTATTCTTTAAAAAAGACCGCCAAGCTCGTCAAACGTTCCCGCGCTTTTTCAAAAAAAAAAAAAAAAAAGATTTGTTTTGGTTATTGACATTGACAGTTATAACCAGGTGCCATGCATGAAATATTGCGTTTGGTTGCGCTTGCGTTCCATATTCTCAGATCGTGCTTGGTTCCCTGCAAAGGCATAGTGGTGTCGATTCTGGCATGATTCTCTAAACGCATCCATGGTTGTTTTCCAATTACAGAGCATAATGCGCCTCAGTGGCGCACAATGCCGAATTATGCTGATGCTTAATTGGAACGTGAATTAGTTTTAAAATGCACCAGCAGAGTGCGCTAAGTTCAGTGTTAAAAAAACGTCAATGTTTGTACCTTCATCCATACTTATATTTATTTTTTTAACACAGTGCGCTCTAGTGCTGTAATTGGAAAACCATCCATGATTGCTTTCCAATTACAGCATTATAGCGCATTATGCGGCATAATGCTTAATGTTGAGTGTTCCAACTACAGCAACGCTTCGCACAATTGAGCACTCTCAAAAGTGATGCTTTCGTGTGATGCGTGCAATCGTACCAACTTAGAGACAGAAAATTAACAAGTGTTTTTTCTATAAGTTGGCATTGATCGAAATGTTTTATTTATATGTTATCGTCAGTAATATTATTTATTGTTGAAAAATTATTAAAGCTTTCGTTTCATTAAATAGTTTTTTTTTTAAATAATCAAAGTTCATTCAAACTGTTAAAAAATAAATATAAGTATCGATGAAGGTACAAACATTGACTTTTTTTTCAACACTAAACTTAGCGCACTCTGCTGGTGCATTTGAAAACTAATTCACGTTCCAATTAAGCATCAGCATAATTGGGCATTGTGTGGCACTGAGTCGCATTATGCTCTGTAATTGGAAAGCATACCATGGTAGCTTTCCAATTACAGCATTATAGCGCATTATGCGGCATAATGCTTAACGTTGAGTGTTCCAACTACAGCAACGCTTCGCACAATAGGCTAGTTTACTCATGTCGAATTGTATTAAATAAATGTTTATTTCTTAAAGTGTTTAGTCTAAGGAACCTTAATATATCGATTTCACTTCATAATAGCAGAAGATTGCTGTAGAAATTTAATTTTAAAAAATATTTTTTAGTCTATATTTTTTAAACACTAAAAACGCTGTTCGCCACTTTCGCCATGATTTTGACGTCTCTTGTGGTAAACAACTAAATGTCATTCGCGTGTTACTGTAGGTGGGTTCTTTCGTCTGACTAAATTTATCTTAAAACACTTTTAACTTTAGGAAAGAAAAAAACAGTAAACTTAGTTTTTTTTGACTAAACAAATTATGGATGCTGGCTTTGTGAAAGCAGAAAGCAAATCTGCCAAGAATTGACGCATTGATGGTTGGTGAATTTGTTGCACTAAACCCCGATTTCTGCTCTGCGGAGCAGAGAAACGACAAGGCATCTATGTAAGTTCAGTGCATTTTGTATTACAATGTAGTAATAAACATAAAACTGATATAACATATGAATAAGTGTTATAAAGTTGCGTAGGTTAATTTCTTTCGGCACTTTAATCCACAACTTTCCTGGAGTCTTCAAGGATGTGTTTTTATATTCTCGTACAATACAGTAATGATAATTACTTTATTTTTCGTGGTATTTATTAGAAATCATGTTTTTTTTTATTATAAACTCAGTTAAAAGTAATTTTCTACGTGTTTACGAGTTTTTGTTTACCACAGTTCACGTCATAGCATAGACAATCTATAGACTAAAATGGCCGACAGCGTTTTTGTATGTCCATGAAAAGTCTATTTTAAAATTAAAGATTTGTAGCTTTCTAGGTTTAAAAAAAATACAATACATTTTTTTTCGGTCTGATAGAACATTTATTAACCATTTAAAACCTTTTTCCAAAAAGGGTCAACTAGCCTATTGAGCACTTTCAAAAGTAATGCTTTCGTGTGATGCGTGCAATCGTACCAACTCAGAGACAGAAAATTAACAAGTTTTTTTTCTTTAAGTTGGCATTGAACGAAATGTTTTATTTATATGTTATCGTTAGTTATATTATTTATTGTTGAAAAATTATTAAAGCTTTCGTTTCATTAAATAGTTTTTTTTTAAATAATCAAAGTTCATTCAAACTGTTAAAAAATAAATATAAGTATGGATGAAGGTACAAACATTGACTTTTTTTTCAACACTGAACTTAGCGCACTCTGCTGGTGCATTTGAAAACTAATTCACGTTCCAATTAAGCATCAGCATAATTCAGCATTGTGCGGCACTGAGTCGCATTATGCTCTGTAATTGGAAAGCAACCCATGATAGCTTTCCAATTACAGCATTATAGCGCATTATGCGGCATAATACTTAACGTTGAGTGTTTCAACTACAGCAACGCTTCGCACAATCGAGCACTCTCAGAAGTAATGCTTTCATGTGATGCGTGCAATCGTACCAACTCAGAGACAGAAAATTAACAAGTGTTTTTTCTTTAAGTTGGCATTGATCAAAATGTTTTATTTATATGTTATCGTTAGTAATATTATTTATTGTTGAAAAATTATTAAAACTTTCGTTTCATTATAGTTTTTTTTTAAATAATCAAAGTTAATTCAAACTGTGTGAAAAAATAAATATAAATATGAATGAAGGTACAAACATTGACTTTTTTTTTCAACACTGAACTTAGCGCACTCTGCTGGTGCATTTGAAAACTAATTCACGTTCCAATTAAGCATCAGCATAATTCGGCATTGTGCGCTACTGAGTCGCATTATGCTCTGTAATTGGAAAACCAGCAGTCTCTCCTTCTTATTATATGAAGAGAATGACAAGGATAGACTCGACACCAGTATTCACATTAATTTCGTAATAAAATCTGAGAATAAAACATTGCCACCATTAGTAGTAAATGTATGTAATAGGTATTTACGTTATAAAAGTAAATCAAGAAATTAGAGAGCAAAGTATTTTGTAAAAAAATATTTCTTATATGACAACACGTTACGCGTCTGTCCTCTTCTCATGTCCGCCGGCGTGTTGTCAATGTCAATTGTCAATTGTCAAACCTTAGATTCCTCCCTGCCTACCTTCGTTAGGCTTTATTTGTTAAACTTCTCAATAAATTCTCAATTACAATGCAAACATAACATAATAATGTTACGTCTCGATAGTTACGCTATACAGTTACAGTTTACGTTAGCGATTTTTCGTAATCATTGTTGAATTTGTGTTGTGATTGTGACGCTGTGAATTCAATCCATAATTCACAACGCTAAAATGGCAAAAACTCAAATAAACACTAAGTCAAGCAGCTATATTAAAGATAAAGAAGTTTTTCTCAAAGATCTGAAATCATTCAATGAAAGTAGAAAGTAAGTGTTGTCTACATTTTACACTTTGTTTCTGTTTGACTTTGTTCAAGTAGGACTCTCATAGATTCAATATGTAGATTTTACAGCTGCTAAATGAGTAATATTTTCATCAACTATAATATTTTTTGTTATTTTTTCAGTTGATGGTGGTTTTGTGTAAATCTTGTAGTGCTCATTATAGAAGATATATTTTTGATAGTAATAATAAGTTTTATTTTGCAGTATATCGTGGAAAACACCTATAGTGAATGGTATAGAAGTTGATCTTTTCCATTTGTATTCACTGGTGCAACAAAGAGGTGGTCTCAGCAAGGTAGCTATTTTATTGTGTTTTATTTAGGAAATGTGTGTCATAAGTTACCATACCACATCTGGCCTATGTTCTAAACCTACTCTACAGTTTTACTGTATAAATTTTGACATAAAATATCCTGTTGAATAAAACACACAATACAAATTTTAAAACTAATTATATTGAATGATTGTTATGTTTGAAAATGTTTATGAATATTATATTTTAAGCTTATCTTCTATTTGATTGCCCTTTAAACTACTCAGTTTGAATCTAAAGCAAATATAACAAGAAAAAATTCTATGCGTGCCAGGCAGCAGATTAGATTTGACATTGAGCAGTTACATGTTTAAAAAATTTAAATTACAACTACTCAATTTGTTTTTCAGGTTAACCAATATGATACATGGGAATCCTTTTTACGTCCACTAAGGCTGCCACATCCATGCGTAAATGGTTCTACATTATTAAGGAGACTTTATGGCACATATTTAGAAAAGTAAGTTGTTTAATAATTTTATATTTTTATGAAAAACTTTAATACTTGTAAGTAGGAAAGCTATGATGTTCAAAACAAAATGAATTAATAAATCCAGTCATGCAGCTTCATACTGTCTGGCACCAGATAAGAAGTCTTATATTTTAATGGCCGTTGTACCCTTATTTTCATTCCCTGCATTTTGAGTAGGATATATCATGATATAAGTTAAAAACACTCAATTAATCATACTTTTTGTTTCTTATGCAACTCAAAAAGTATAAAAGTATCATTTTATGGTGACATATGAGATTCTACATAGACAGAAACATTGAAGGTACTGATAAGAAGTTGAATGTTTTTGCTTGTTTACCACACTTCTTATATTAAAAAAGATATGAAAAAAGAGTGGTGATTTGAACAAGTACCTTACCAAACTGCACAAGCAAAGCTTTCAAAAATAAAAGCTTTTATTTATTCTGTTAGCATACCTAAAATAAATAGATAAAAAAGGATTATACAGTTTGTGCCAAGATTTTTTTTGTTATATTACCATACCATTTTAAAATGATACACTAAAAATTGAACAGTAAAATAACATTTTATTTTATTAATTTAAATTTAATGAATTTTTATTACTGACTGTTCTTAAAAATATTGAAAAGAGACAAAATATTAAAGTCTCTAAAATAGATTATTTTTTATGGTACTTATGTGAGGGTATCATCATTATAAATAGGTTCATTGGGCCATAACCAACCATGCAGGCATAGTGTGGATTTTACGGTGCTAATAATTTTAAATTTGATCTATCATCCTACAATCAATCATTCTAAAATTTGCTCTATTGATCTCCATGATTGGAGACTATTTGAAACCACCGCCCCATCAAGCTCTTCGTCTATTTTAATTAAGTTAAGTTTTTCAAATCATACTTTTTATTGATATAAGGCTACTAATATCTCTCACAGGTATGAAAGAGCTAAGGGCCCTCCTGGCAGAGACGATGACGCCTACGATTTGGATGAGGATCCGCGACGGAGTCGAGCCGGTGGAATGCCGCGAATATCTTTCGGTGGTGGTATTTATATCTCAGGTAACTAGGCGCACTAGTTACCGAGATAATGTTTTAAGAGTGCTGTGGGATTTTGTGGACATGGTTGTGGATGATGGTTTTACCAGTTTTTCTCATTGTTCTTTTAAGATTTGTATTACATGTCTGTGGCTTAGATTAAAACAAATAGGGAAGATACGGCACATGTGGTTCAAAAGTGTACCGCATAAATTTTGGTGCATGACTACAATTCACTTTAGTCACAATTGGACATCCAAACACGCTGCATGTGCACTCAATATGACAATATTGCGTATATTCATTGTTATAAAGATAAAACAACACAAATAATTCCAAATCAAATAACGAATTCCATGGCAACACTTTTCATTTGTAAAACTATAAAAAAAAACTCACAAATTAAGGTCTGCTATGAATGTTAATAGTAATTCGTCATTTGTTGTCAAGAAAAGGACAATAATTCTGTTCAGCTGTTTGTAGAGAGAGAAAAGAAAACTAGCACTCTCCATTTTGCTAGTGATGCGTTGAAGCGTACAGTTCTGTCTCGCTCGCTCGATTAAATGTCTATTTACATGTGCACACGCACACTTGTGTAGTTACTTATGTAGTTCAGTCGGAGCATATTTTATTTGATGCTAGTATGAGCGTACCGTATCTTCACTTTTTGTTTTAATCTAATGTCTGTGGGAATAAAATAAAATTAATCATCATTTTGGACTTGATGATCTCAAAAGAGTAACATTAAACAAATTTCATATACACAGGTCAAGATTTAGCCAGTCTAGGTTGTTAAAGCTCTGAGGCGCAAGCATGAATTATGACAGCCCCGTAATCGTATCCTCATCGTCAAATTTTATATGGAAGGGGTCAGTTTGTTCTTACGTCCGGTAGGGGTGCTGCTTAGTTTTCATAGAAACTTTGACGATGCGATACGAATATGGAGCTGTTGAAATTCGTGCCTGGCCCTCTAATGTGGAAAAGCATAATCAAAGTTTATTACCTGGATTGGAGACAAACTTCTTAGCAATCCATGGATTCTATGTGCGGGTGCCGGGTCCATCGTGTGGAAGTGAGAGAAACTGACCAGTTCCCGCGACTTGCGACAGGTGTACGTTTAGGGAGGCCTAGGAAGGTTATAGAGAGATTTTGCCATACCTCACGCTCCTACTTCTACCGCATATATATTAACTACATAGCCATTTTTGGTTAGATTGTAATATTTGAGGGGTATACAATCGAAGTTGGTAAAGTCCACATTGCCAAAATGTTCAGTAAACGATAAAAACGATTATTTTAATTATTACAGGTAACTATTGTAATGTTAAACAGTATTTATATGCAGAATGTAATACATTATGGAAATACAAGTGTTCATCATGTTCAGTTCAATACTTTTGAGTAAAACCTTAAGTATAAGATGGACCTTCCCAGTTTTGTTACCAAGTTTTGGACTTTATTAAGTTTGTAACTGTAACACAACAAAAGAGCATTACAACATCAAAGGCGACCTATTCGAAGGTCGAAAGGACTTTACGTAAATTGAAACTCAACTCACTTGGACTTTGCTACGTTTGTTAGTAAAGTCAATTTTCATAACAGTAAGTAAATAACAGTCTAGATTTCTAGAATATTTATAAAATTATTCTATGGGATAAATATAGGAATTGAATGCGTTGTAATTTAAATCTAACTTTTAAAATTTTGTGGACTTCACCAACTTTGATTGTATATACCCCTGATTTATTCAATTTTATCGTGTGGCCTGATTTATTCAATTTTATTTTAGTACTATATGTTTGATGTGCCTATAAAAGAGAAATATGTCCGGCCTATATGACGAAACACCTATATCCTCTGGTATTTTTTAGTGCTTTTCCTACGTTTCCATTAAAATAGTCCAGTCAGATGCAGTACCTACTATTGAGAAAGGCTTGCTTTTCGAGTTACCAGTTGAGCCTTCTTATAGGTTACTTTTAAACCTGGAAAAATTTTAGCTTAGTACTTTGACAATCCAACAGGTACCGATAATTATCTATACTTATAATAAATCTGTAGAGAGGTCAATTCTGTACATGAAATATATTTTCAAAATGACTATCAGGGGGTGATTAGTGATTGATACTGATGCCAAAAATGCAATCAGTAAATTTTTTGTCTGTCTGTCTGTCTGTCTGTCTGTGTGTATGTTCCTTATAGAATCAAAAACTACTCGACGGATTTAAACGAAACTTGGTACAATTATTCTTCATACTCCTGGGCAGGTTATAGTATACTTTTCATCACGCTACAATCAATAGGAGCGGAGTAGTGAAGGGAAATGTTGGGAAAACGGGAGAAGTTACTCCATTTTTTAAGCTTCCGTCGCGTGTGCAGCCTTAATGGTTAAAGTTACATAGAAATCATGTATGACGGAAATAATCTACATAAAATTGTCTTAAAAATATCCCGCAACAGCATATGTCTATCTTTTACGGTTGACTCACAATAACAATATAAATAAAGTCATTGTTTATAGCACAGAACAAAAACTATAGTTTACACTACAGCTCTACACCGAAGCGAAGCGAGGGCGGGCCACTAGTTCCAGAATAAAAGTATTCTATGTCTCCATCCAGGTACTACAGTAATGTTCTATGTATCAAACTGTATGTTTGCCGAATTACATCAAAACTGAAATGGATGAAATCAATAGATTTTTTAAAAATAAATCAATAGCATGCCAGAACGAAAACGTCATTGCAGAATCATTTCTTTCATATTGCATGTTTTGGGATGAACAAGTAGTTATAAATGAGTGGTTGAAAGGCTAATTTTATTTTATTTTTTTTATTATGCATGTTTTGTACTATGGAAGTGTTTGGGGCAATTGATTAAGTTTGAACGCTTACAATGAGGAACGAATGAATGTTGGTTTATTTAACTTTGAAAAATAAATTAAGTTTATTTAATGATAAAGTTATTGTTTGTTTTTTTTAATATGGTGGTAAATATTATGGCCTTATAGCTACTAACGGGATTGTTACCATATACCTTGTTTTTTATGTGTACGAAATATCGGGGACTCATAAAAAACAAGGTACATGGTAACAATCCCGTTAATAGCTATAATGTTAGTGACCATGAAATTTTTAAACAATATTATGACCTTTATTATGGTAAGCAGTCTCCTTAGTTCGCTGCATTGACTATCAGACAATTGCTTGGCTGCTACCTGGAGCACTGGTTACATTTCTTAACACTATAATGAATAAAAAGACAATGAACACTATGCCTGTCTAATTTAACTATAAAATCCATTTAGCGAGTAATTAAATCAAAATATAAGTAAATTTTTCTTTTAGTAAGTCTTAGAATTCCAAAATTTAAAGCTGTGAATTTGAGCGATAAGTAAGCTAGTACACGTGGCCTAAGCTAATTTTAAAAAACGTTAGCAAATCACATGTCACAAGCTTGTGAATTCCGTACAAGTAATCAATGTTTTTTATCTTTCAAACATATACAAAGATTGAAACTTTTTCTGTAAGGTATTCTAATGCGTTTTTCAATGCCCAAGATACATTTCAAAGTCCTTACTATTAATTCAAGAATAGGGTCACTAATAATTGACGAATTCTCTCACAGCATCAGGAGAACCCCTTCGCACCGGTACTAGAGTGGCAGGTCCATCAGAGAGGCTCGCTCTCTCGCTCTTATCGCCGATGCCTAACGAGCAAGACTTCGCTGTGAACGTATGCACAGTATTAGCTGCGGATCATTCTAATAGATTGCCTTTGGCCGCCACACCTCATATCTTGGATTTTTTATTGGCTCATGCAGGGGTTTATAATCATTGTGAGTATTGAGATATCAGTGTCCGTACTTAATAATATTGATTTAACACACCGCCGGATAAGCTTAGACTAGTTACGCCGTGTTTTGTTCATATCACTCAAATTAAAGGACATTGGGCAAAAATGTATGGACGCTGCACCCACGTCCGCCACGGCTTAAACTACATTTATTTGAAAGGCATTATAGTCAAGATCATCTGTGCCAAAGCACATCAAATTCCATTCCGGGGTCTTTAGTTATTTTAAGTTAAATACTATAACGAACGAACATTAATGAAACAAGGGAATTAATTTAGTTAGTTAGTTCGACCCTACATAGGGTGCTCAGGAATTATGGGAGTACTTCACAAGGTGCAAGGGCCCCCTTATGTTATTCTGCCACGCTAGAGTAAATCCAAAAACCCCCGCATGGATTCAACTTTAAAACAGTCTGTTCCTTCTCTCTGGCAAATTAGCTGGGTGATCAAATGAAATAAAAATCCGCCATGATCTTTCTTTTCACAATAATTATGATTTTATCACAAGATTGACATAATTCTCTAATCATTTCAAACATATTTTAGCGAGTCTACGGGATACCATAGGACGTTCGTACTTCGAAGCCCGTGGGCGATACCCCGATGAATTCTGGGAGATGCGAGCCGGTGGTGGGGGGGCCAGAGAATTGGCAGATGAAACCAAATTTATGCAGCCAGGACTCGAACAACCTGAACTTATGGTCCAAGCTTTGGCTGCTCATAATACGTTGACAGACTGCTTAATGCAAGAGGGTACCGAAGAAGAAATAGTGGACAAAGTATTTCATGAGGTAAGTTTAAAAGGTTTTGACCTGTGAGGACTTGAACAACCTGACTTAATGGTCCAGGGTTTGACTGCCCATAATACGTAGACAGACTGTTATGCAAGAGGTTACCAAAGAAGAAATGCTAGACAAAGTATTTAATGAGGTAAGTTTAGACAGTTTTAACCTGTCAGGACTTGAACAACCTGAACTAATGGTCCAGGTTTTGTCTGCCCATAATACGTTGACAGACTGTTTGATGCAAGAAGGCACAGAAGAAGAAATTCTGGACAGTGTTTGATCAGGGAAGTTTGGACAATTTTAACCTGTCAGGATGTTTGAGTCCTGAGCTAATATTATAGTAATATAAGTTATTTACAGGATTGTTGCCATGTAGGTACCTTGTTTTTAGCGAGTTTCCGATACAATATTACCTGAGCTAATAGTCCGGGTTTTGGCCGCCCATAATACGATGACAGACTGTTTCACAAAGGGGTTACTGAAGAAGAGGGGTTACTGAAGAAGAGGGGTTACTGAAGAAGAGGGGTTACTGAAGAGAGGGGTTACTGGAAAAAGTGTTATTTTTTTTTTAAACAGTTTCTCAATAGCTGTTACTTTTAGATACTTAATATAAATACATTAGTCATTGAGCACACACCACACGCACAAGCACGCACCACATAATTAAGCATAAAAAAGTCTTTAATAAGAACTGACATTCTGTTTTAGTTTAAAGAGCATTACATAAGAATTTGCGCTTAGTTGTTAGTATACTACAAAAATAGTTACTTGTGCATAGTTAAATTATACTTTAGTATTAAATATTAATCACATTAATAAAAGTTTTTTTTAGTTTTGACTGCCCGTAATACATAAAAAAGAAGAATTTTTGGACAATATTTCATATGCAATCAAACTTACCTATAATGGAATGTTTGATTGAATATAATCATTCTACCCCTTTAAAAGTGCTCTTTTGTCTTGTTTCTTTGCCAGTCTAATCTAACGTTACATAAGTCTAATAGTATATTAGGTCCGGGTTTTCGTATTGTCGCTGTTAGTTCAAATTTCGACATTGAAAAATTTGGATTTGGACCCATAGTGATATCTTTACCTTTACCATGAATATTGTTCTGCTAAATTTCGCGGGAAGGAATGTGCATTCCAGACCTGTTCTGTATACATAAAAAAAAAGGTAATTACGACACTAACACATATCACACAAAATAGGCACCTGGTGTCGAGTTGCAGAAAACACCCACCATAGTACAGAAGAAAAAGAAGACAACACATAAACAATGACATATAGCTACTCCCCTCCTGGCCACATCGGTGTTGCTTTATGAATTTCAGCAACATGACATTTTATTTTATTTCTTATTTTTTTTAAGTATTAACTTGTAGATTTGAGTTGAACTGCTACTACTGGATGTTTAAAGGTATTTCATTTGACATTTTGGGTTATTTACAATGCGAAGAGATAGATGCCTTGCAGCCTAAGAAATTCGACTAGGTCATTAAGGTCATGGTAGCATAATTGGTTAATGCATCCGCCCGAATAGCGGAGGGTGCCAGTTTGAGTCCCGTCTGCTTCCTGGATCGCATGGATTTTTTTAGTAATAATTTATTTCGAATTAGACATGATATTTTTCAACAAGACCCTTATTCGCAGGATGTCTTAGAAGATTGGGTGACAGAACCTTCAGAAGAGAGCCAGTTGTTCGCACCCGTGTTGCCAGGTGGCGCTTCCTGTGTTTACACACAACGAGTATTGCAAATAGCGTCTATCGTCCGCTCTCTGTCTTTCCACGAAGAAAACGTACAGTATTTGGCCAAGAACACTACACTCATCAGGTATTTGGAACATAATTCGTAGGTGTATTAACGTATATTCTTCCCTATTACTTGTTTGTAGCTGTCTAATGTTAATTTGTTTGAAACTATAATTATGTTATAGTTTTTAACGGGATTGTTACTATGTACCTGGTTTTTTATAAGTCTCCGATATTTCAGCACTGTTGCAAGCGCCATGATGACGGAGTAACTGAAGTAATTGCGGGTAGATGTTATTTAATTTAGTTTAGTTTATCATTAGTTAAAGAAAGCAGAAGTTTATTTGATTAAAATTTATTTAAGTTGATTAGTAGTATTTTTTTTTTATTTATAATAATTGATAAATATTTGTTACAAAAAGTGCAAAAAGGCATAAACCACACTTATTTAGTAATTATTTAAACTCACTTACTGTTTAAGAAAATGATATTTTTTAAATTAGCTATATAACATGTATTAAAAAATAATTTAAATATTCGGTAATTATTCGGCAAATCAACCGAATATTCGGCCGAATACGGCGCATCTCTAGTTCATAGCAACATATAGCACTTTTTGGTACATATATAAAAATATGATAACTATATAACTCCACTTTATGACTTGAATTTAAACGCTTTCAATGCTTTAGTTCTTGTTCTGATGTATTAAATAATATCCTTCCGTTTGACTTGCTAAAATCTATCTATTGATGATTTTACTTTTACTATAAATGTTTTATGAATTAATATCCTTCCCTATATTTTATTAAAATCTGTATCAATGTTGATTTACTTTAATTATAATGTCCTTCTGTGGTTAATTCTATTATCTTGTTATAGATTCTTGTTGCTATGTGCAAACTGCTGGGTGGGATCTTTAAGACAATCCGGACTCGACACTCTTGGAAATGTTTCGACAGAACTCATAATAAAGGTTTGATTATTTTGTGTTTTAATGTTGAATAAAGAAAAACTGACGAAGCACCGTGAAATGGTATTTGTATAATATGTTTAGATAAGTCATTTTGAGAGGGTGTCAAGAATCGAAAACCATTTTGTTTATTTTTTATATATCTGAAATTATATTTTATTACTATTTATTTAAATATTGGCAATGATCCTCCTCTTGAATTTCTTTGCTAGCTAAGAAAAAGCTATTGGCCTATCTCAATTGTAGGAACCAAATGCCAAACATACATCTTTCTAACTTTGCTTTTAATTTACTTTAGGGCTAAGCCATAAAGTCCACACTTCCTTCGAAAAACACACGATTTTTCAGATTATATAAGTATTAAAATGAAGTAAATATTTCTAATACGATATTTTATCCTTGTTTTTCTCATTTTCTAGGATCCAGCGACTTGTCTGATCTCAAGGCATGTTTTATCCACGATACAATCTGCTCTGGTGTCACCCGATAGAGCCAGAGTGCTCGCTGCACTGGAGTTGTTGAACAAACTTGCGCAAAACGAAGTTAATGAGGATGCGTTGTTGAAAGCATTGGAAGCTAAGGTAAAGTGGACATTTCTGTTGCTAGATTTTTAAATTTAAGGATGCTTGGTTTTTATTTAAGTTTGTTTGTGTTTTGACAAAACTCGCGCAAAACGAGGCTAATGAGGATGCGTTGTTGAAAGCATTGGAAGCTAAGGTAAATTGGACATTTCTGTTGCTAGATTTTTAAATTTGAAGATGCTTCATTTTTATGTATGTTTATTTGAAGTTAGTGATCAGAAAGAAGCACCTGTTTCCGAATATTACGAAATTAATAGGACAAATTGGAAATTTCTATTCAATATTTTGTTTTACGAATGAATTTTTAACGGAAATGTGCTAGGGAACATAAAACATTGATTTTTTTTAATCTAAGATACTTCATATTTTTTTTTCACATTTATTCCGCCGGAGTCCATCTGAGCTGAGACACGTCAAACCAAAACGATCATACTTTATTTTTCTTCCAAGCCGGATGAAGAAGTGTTTCGCGTTTTTTTTTAATTCCGTTCGGGCCAAATATCAGATAGGAGGAGCAGGGGCGAGTGGATATAATAAAATTTTCTTCTGATTTATAACTAGAGATTGGCTAGCAAATTATGCAAGCGGGTTCTTAGGATATTTTTATTAAAAATAAAATCCCAGGATACCGGAATTGAATAACTATATAATCGGATTTTTATTTACTTGAAGTTAAGTGTTAATTTCCCATTTGAGTGTGTATCTAAGTAAAGCGTAAAAAAGTTGATAGTGTAGTTGTTAATAAGAAAACATAAATGTTATTTGTTTCTTTTTAGTTATTAAATACAACCATATTACGTTGTAACAGGGCAAGTGTCATTTGTGTCAAACTGGATTTATTAAATCGCACGGAGTATTTTTGAGTTACACTTAAATTTGAATTTCTCGGAATCGCGGGATTTTTCCGATAAAAAAGTGCTTTTCATAATAGCCAACATCTGAACTTTAGGTAAATATGCTATTTCATATATAGCAACACCAACTGTCATTTACCATAGACACATCTGTTTCCTTTACACTCTGCCTCGTGGTCTTGCCAAGCCATGCCAAGCCAAGCGATTACTCCGTATGTATTTAATTATTATAAATAGTATTCTATTACCACCTTACGGTGGTGTTGAATAAAACAGTATTAGAGTTGTTGAATAATAGGATGCATATGTAAATATGGATCCTATTATTCGATCTCTATTTATAACAATAAAAGTTGAATGCTAAAATGACACTATTAAATTACAAAACGATCATTGTTCTTTCCATCCGCAGGTCTACAGCGACGTCTGCTCATTGCTAAGTCTTCGCGACATAATGGTGCTAGTTTGCACCTTGGAATGCGTTTACGCATTAACGTCTCTAGGCGACCGCGCCAGTGAGGCCGTCGCTAGGCTTCCGGGGCTAATCCATACGCTTGTGTCATTAGTCACTGTGGAGGTGAGTACGGTTCGGTATAATACAGTAAGGTACAGTTTGGTGACAGAATGCGGTCGCTAGGCTTTCGGGGCTAATCCATATGCTCGTGCCGTTAGTAAATGTAGAGGTTGAGTACGGTGGCGGTATAGTACGGTACAGTACAGTTTCTAGGCGACCGTGCCAGTGAGGCGGTCGCTTTTCTTTTAGGGCTAATCCTTACCCTCGTATCGTTAGTAACTGTAGAGGTGAGTACGGTGCGGTATAGTACCGTGCATTACAGTTTCTAGGCGGCAACGAGTGAGGCGGTCGCTAGGCTTTCGGAGCTAATCCATATGCTCGTGCCGTTAGTAAATGTAGAGGTGAGTATGGTGCGGTATAGTACGGTTACGGTGCGGTATAGTACGGTACAGTACAGTCTCTAGGCAACCGTGCCAGTGAGGCGGTTACTTTTCTTCTAGGACTAATCCATACGCTCGTGTCGTTAATAACTGTGAGCGTGAGTATAGTACGGTATATTACGTAGTATTGTATAGTCTAAGATTTCCACGTTGATCGGTCCTGAGGTGTCCGTATATGTGACCTTCAATAAATCAATGACTTCTATAACTTGTTAAAAAAATTCACATATACTACGGCCAACGAGAAGCGATACAAAAGTTCATTCACCTTAGACAAGTCTGTGGGACGGTTAGTCTAATAACTATCTCTTTCATTTAATTTATAAGACATTAGGTCTCTTTTGGTCATCGCCGAGGCGATTTCGCTAACATTCAAGCGACCATTTTCTAGTAAAAAATAATGACATTTTCATTTCATTTCATGTATTTCCGATACTACTCGTGGTAATGACTAATCATTTTTGTTGAACTGTTATTATTTTCAGTCTTTAAAATATTAATTATAATGAAACAGTTTTGCACATTTAATTTAAACATATGCATATTATATAGATAAAAGTCTTATGTTCATTTTCATAAATAAAATGATTTTTCTTTTTTAAAATTTGCCAACACCTGCATTACTAATGACTTTTCATTCAATTTACATTTTTTATCGCTTGTAGTTGGCCGTACTTGTTTATACATAGACCATGTTATTAAATTCTTCTTAAATGTTTTGTCTTTAGTAATTTCTTATTGTTTTTCTCTTAACAGGCACAAAGCTACGGGCCCCGCGCCTGCATCCTCATGAGAGTTGTGGAAACGGTCAGCGGCCCCAGCGCCATAGCCGCTGCCAACGAGAGAGACGGCAACAATCAGGTTCTAACTGTTAAATGTGCTATTTCAATGTTTCTATTTCAAACTAGCGGCCGCCCGCGACTTCGTACGCGTGGAGTTAGTTAGAAATTAGGTTCACTGCTCGTTCCCCGTAGGTGATAGCGTGATAATATGTAGCCTATATGTTGATCCGACTTCTTAATAATCATCACTAGCCTATTAATGTCCTCACTGCTGGGGCACAGGTCTTCCCTGTGGATGGAATAGGGAGAATGGGCTATGACCTACCGCGCAGGCCCAGTGCGGATTGGTGGGTGCTAACGACTGCAGATACAGTCGGGACCAACGGCTTAACTTGCCTTCCGAAGCACGGAGGAGCTCGAGATTGGATATTTTTGATCACCCATCCAATGACCGACCACTGCGAAAGTTGCTTAACTTCAGCGATCGCAGCCTAACGCGCTAAACACTTGCGCCAACGAGTTCCTCTTAATAATATTCGTGCCAAATTTGAAGTAAATCCATGCAGTACGTTTTGAGTTTATCCCGGACATACAAACAAAAATTCTAAAAACTATATTTTTGGCTTCGGTGTCGATAGTCGGTAGATCACACCCCAATTATTCTTTTAAAAAATATTCAATGTACAGTTTTGACTATCCTGACATTTTATTATATGTATAGATTCTAAAAGCCTTAAGTGACTCAAGTGATTTGTTTTAACGTGTCAAAGTTATTGTGCCACGAAGCTTCACCATTCGTAGCAAGAAGTTCAAATTGCAAGTTTCCTTATGGCATACTAACTATAATACAAACTACCAATAATAACTAACATACGTGTCAGTATAACAGCAGTGCTAAGTCACTTTGAGTTTCTGAAACGAAGATTAGCGAAAAAAATCCTAGACTTTTTTGAACTCAATTTTACATTTCTGTCATCATTTACAAGTTGGTTAGGGTTTTAACAACTCAACTAATAGTTATAATTAAATTTGGCTTGTTATTTCTTGACTGCTGTAGTTGATAGTGTTGCCCAAATGCAAGAACAAGACGAGACTTAGCAAGTCTTGGTCTTGGTCTTGCGCCAATACACCTGATCTTGGTCTTGCGCTCCCAGTCTTGGTCTTGGTCTTGCAGCAAGAGTCTTGCAAGTCTTGCAATTACCTATTAGACTATTGCTATTTATTAAAGTTAACTTTAGATCTTAGAAAAACGTATTAGAATTGGAACATTGTCAGCTTGAATTAACATAGCCATAGTAAAGACCAATCATAATCCCATATAATCAATATTATAATATATACTTACTAGAATAAATTATTATGACATCTACTACCTATCCTTACCATTATTTAATCATAATACTACTTGTGTGATCAAGTATAATGTATTCGTTTCTATTCTAAGCACTCTCAAACTTATTTAATCTTTGGAACACTTGTACTCTAAAATTCGACAATCGAAGTTCGTGTGTCGTACCGTCTCGCTCGCTCATATATTAAATAGTATTAGCGTGAGTGGGACGGCACGACACGAAATTAGAATTTTGCATGAGTATACCTAGGTCCTGTTGCGGCAAACAAATAGTGTCAAATGTTGTGATTTCAGCGCGGCGGCAACGATTGTTGTATGTCATTTCAATAGACGCGTGTATCATCACCATGTACTTCCGAAAAGCGGCAAATTTCTCAGTACAAAACCTTTGATGCCGCATTATCAAAGTGCTGATGGTTAAAACAAAACTATGCATGCACTCTGTTTCATTTTAATGGATATTTTTTTATTCGCTATGTATGTTTATGGTATTGGTCGTAATGCGCATAGGTCCAGTTTTTCATATTCTTTGATACACTTTTTTGCGTCTCATAGAATTCCTAAGCGTACCTATACACCAAACTGTTATACCTAACTACTCCGTGAAATAGCGCTAAGTCCTAGCTGCAAGACGCAAGAGTTTTGCCGGATTAGTCTTGTTCTTGCTCAAGTCTTGCATGGTCAGTCTTGGTCTTGGTCTTGCTAAAAATACGCGGTCTTGTTCTTGCATTTTTGCAAGAACAAGACCAAGACTGAATTTGGGCAACACTAGTAGTCGACCCTCCCATGGACGCGGGAGGGGGATGCACTCGACCAATCAACCAATAGCATGTCGACTGCCGACAGCGATAGACTTACCGTCAGAGCCTGCGCGGTTGCACTACGCATGTGATTAATTTATGGCTTTGCATACGTCAAACCATGTTAGAAAAAGTTACTACGAAATCTACGTTATAATAAGTTAAGGAGCGTCCCGCGGACCATCAGGAGCGGTCAAGCTATAGATGATTTTATCGCTGATCAGCCTTCTAGTTAATTTCTTGAATATCTAACTGTAATCCCTCTATTCGCAGACGCCAGCACAGCAGAAGCCTCAAGACTCGGCTCCGCCCCCCGCACAACCTTCAGTCTCCGCCCCCACCACTACCCCAGTTTCTACCCCAGCCCCCACCCCCACACCTACCCCCGCCCCTACCCCCACCCCCGCGCCCGTGAATACGCTGCAACAATCGCATCTGCAGCAGAGGACTGTTCAGGTAACAAAAGGACGTTTTAAAATTTTTATCTACCATCATGTCAGGCCCACGATGGCGGATTAGTAATTTTATGTGCACTCCCATGATATTGGTATTGAATGAAAGGGTTTAACAAGAAAAATACGAATAAACTAACTTATGATTTTAATAAACACTTAAATAAAACTTTTACGACGATGATTACATGGCTTGGCCTTTGCCTTTCACAATTGGAAAATATAAAACCAAAAAAAAACTAACAAGATGCACATTCCTAATTCAAATCACTTTTAGTCCCTAGGTTACCTAACAGAGAAGAAACTGACACTTTTCGAATAGATGTGATATAAACATATTGTTGTGACAGGAGAACGAGCATTTCGCTCAAGCGTGGCTTCGCTCCACATTCGAGCCGCTGCCTCCCACCGATAACAGCGCCTACGACACGGGCGAATTATATCGCCAATACCTCGCCTGCTGCACCAAACTGGGCAGAAAGGGGGTCATAGCGCCAGCGCATTTCCCGAGACTTGTGAGGTGAGATTTACCTAAAAATAGACTGTTTTACTGGTATCTATGGTCGAAAGTTACCTACCACCGATAAATAGCGCCTACGACACGGGCGAATTATATCGCCAATACCTCGTCTGCTGCACCAAACTGGGCAGAAAGGGGTTCATAGTGCCGGCGCATTTCCCGAGGCTTGTGAGGTGAGATTTACCTAAAAATAGACTGTTTTACTGGTATCTATGGTCGAAAGTTACCTACCACCGATAAATAGCGCCTACGACACGGGCGAATTATATCGCCAGTACCTCGCTTGTTGCATCATACTGGGCAGGAAGGCAGTCATAGCGCCGGCGCATTTCCCGAGACTTGTGAGGTGAGATTTACCTAAAAATAGACTGTTTTACTGGTATCTATGGTCGAAAGTTACCTACCACTGATAAATAGCGCCTACGCCACGGGCGAATTATATCGCCAATACCTCGCCTGCTGCACCAAACTGGGCAGAAAGGGGGTCATAGTGCCGGCGCATTTCCCGAGGCTTGTGAGATTTACCTAAAAACAGACTGTTATACTGGTATCTATGGTTGAAAGTTACCTACCAATTATTTCCCGAGACTTGTGAGATGAGTTTACTCAAAAATAGACTGTTTTACTAGTATTTTTGGTCGATAATAGTGATATAGTGACGACGAATTAAATTGCCAGTATCTCGCCTGTTATATCAAACTGCGCAGGAAGGGGTCATAGCGCCGGCGCATTTCCCGAGACTTATGGGGTGAGATTTACTGACATAAATTATTGGTCTCCAATCTCATGATAGGCCATTGCGGAAGTTGCTTTACTTATGCCTATCGCAAACTGAGCACGCTAACTATTGCCCTATCAAGCTATTAATTTATTATAAAACACTTTTATTAAAAATGCGCTTCCTGTTATTTCAAGTTTTGACTCATCATTTTGACAACAGGACGATATTCGGCGGTACTGTCGGGCCAAACAACGTGACCACATCTACTGGGGAGACGCAACAAGTCTACATCGGTATACGGGCGCGGAATACTCCAAACAGACCTAGCCAGCCTACAGGTAATATTCTGTTGAAAAACTCGCTATTATAGTCCTTAAGATCATAGTAATAAAAGTACATTATTGTAATAGAGGAGCTCGATGGCGCAGGTGGTTAGGGGGTTCGGCTGCGATCGTTGAAGTGAAGCAACTTTCGCAGTGGTCGGCCATTGGATGGGTGACCAAAAATCTTCTATCTCGAATGCCTCCGTGCTTCGGTAGGCACGGTAAGCCGTTGGTCCCGGCTGCATCTGCAGTCAATCCGCACTGGGCCCGCGTGGTGGGTCACAGCCCAATCTCCCTATTCCATCCATAGGGAAGGCCTGTGCCCCAGCAGTGGGGACATTACTAGGCTGGTGATGATGATGATGAACTTCATAATGAAGTTGTAATATCGTAATATAACATTAAAAAAATCGAGTTATTATAATCTTTCAGGTCGGAGAATTGAAGGTACAATATCGCGTGACAGATATAGATAAACATAAAAATAGTTAACTTATTTAAGAGAGTTTTATTTCACAAACTAATAGTTGAACTTTAGAGCTGGATTTTTAAAATCGTTTTCTCACCTCCCAAAACTAGTAAAGAACCCCTTTTGGAAAGTAGCATCCATTTTTCTTTATCTTTCAGTTCAGTACCTACTTTTTGTTTTTTTTTTAACACAAAATTATACATTTCCTTTTGATAAACTTTAATTTTATGTATTTTTGAGTGTTCAATATGCAAACAGGACCATCGTCGCCGATATTGAAAGCGCAGCTCACCAATAAACCTGCACCGGAAGCCAGCAAGCCTGTCGTAACACAAGCTCAGGTAAGTTATATTCCACGATCTTTTCTTTTCTTCATTTAAAAGATTAATACAGGACTAGTACGAGTAAATACGAAATTGACAGTTACGTAAACTATGTTATTACTATAAATTGTTACGTGTATTGTACCCCTACCACGAACCATTATCTAATTCGAATAGTTTGCAAATGGGAAATGTCAATGTCAAATTTCATGATTACATTGACGCCATAAACCAGCAACGCCATCTATCGAAATAAACGCGAATATCTTAGCCAAAAACTAGTTTTTATTTATTATACTTCGTAACTGTTCTAGAACTTAGCACGAACTAATATCGAATTCCAATAGTTGAATTCGATACCGACACGCGTCAAATGTCAAGAAGTTTTGTAAGGAAATTTGAACAGCGGGATAACGGAAGTAACGAGAATTAAAAATATTCCTTCCAAAATTTCTTGAAAGACGCGTATCGAGATCGAATTCAATTATTCGAATTTTGCTAATGATTCGTGCTAAGGGTACTTATTTCTATATACATTAGTTATAATTTCTTTAGTATTTAACTGCTAGATGTTTAAATAATAAGAAAATTTTACTAAAAAAATCCACGCGGACCAGGCAGCAGACGGGACTCGAACCCGCACTCTTCGCTATCCGGGCGAATGCACTGACCATTATGTTACCGCGGCCCTGATGGCCGTGTCGAATATTCATTAGTATTTCTTGGGCTGCTAAGCAGCGCCATCTCTTCGCATTGTAAGTAACCCACAATGACAAATGAATACCTTTACAAGTATTTAAGAATTGAAAGAAGAAATAGCAATTATAGTTATAATCTCAATAGGAAGGGATAGCGAAGGGTGCGGGTTCGAGTCCCGTTTGCTGCATGGTCTGAGTGTATTTTTTTCTAGTAAAATTTTCTTCTATATACCTTTCAGAGTACACTCCAAAGTGTAGTGTCTCACCCGCATTTATCGCAAGCGTTGGAGAGTAACCCGTCGAACACAACATTTATAAAGCACCTCCTGGCCCACAAAGTAAGCCCCGCCCCGATTCACCAAGTAAGTGTATACTAACAACACTAATATTATGTATTGTCGCTTGATTTGTAGTCGGGTTGTCAACTTTATTCGTGCAAAATGCAATGTAAAATAAAAATAAAGTGTAAACAAAATTGAGGGTGCTACTTTTTAGGATGACCTAAAGATATTAAATGAGAAAGCCAAAATGTTTTTCAATGTAATTTATTTTGGAATACTATATGAACACAAAAATAAATGTACATAGTATTTTAGAAGTCAGCAAAATACTAATCAAACATTGCTGTTTTTCTTGAAGATCGATTAGTTTCTACCAAGTTAATAAAGTAATCTGTTATCGAGTATAAAAAGAAATGTAAAATAGTTTTTAAGTAGCTAAAATAACTTTTATATCAGTAAGGTTGGCAACCCTTAATATTGACTTTTTAGACAACGTATAAATAAGCAATCGTAAATAATTTGTAGACATTTTATCTTCCTCGCAAAATAATTTCTTTATTTATTTAGGCGTGCAGTGTAGTATAAAAAGATTTCAAATATGTTTTCAGTCTAGAATTTTCATTATTTCTATCATTATTATATAATTTTTATTATTCAGTGTGGATGCTTCGCCATCGTCTGATAATTTTTACTTTAATACTTGTCAATTTCTATTTTAGGTTGATTTTTAATTTGAAATTATTTTCAATGTGAATACCAGGTGATATACTACGGTAAAAATGGTATTGTTTTGATTCAATAAAACGTAACCTTAACCAAATATGAGTTTGAAGCATGTAAACAGGGGTCGTAACTTCAGCTTTCAAAGCAGTTTATTTGAGGTGGTCAAAGCGAAATATGATTCTCAAAGTATGCGTATGAAGACTTTTATATACCTACTTTTTTCTACTTCCTTTGAGACGAAAGGTAAACACTTAAATCAATCTTTCTTAAACTTTTCATCGAGAGTAAAGATGGCTGATCTAACTAGATTGATTACGAAATTTCACTTTTCAATGTAAATTATTTGTTTCATCACTAATCTTCAATAGATTATTTGACAGTATTAAAATAAAGTGCCAATTATTAGCATCTGTATTTAAAATGAATATTGGCAGGAGTTTTTACTATTTTTACAGAAAAAATATTCATAATTTTACTAAAAACCTACGATAAAGATAATAGTTTTCTTGTCTATTGTCACGTGACCCAAAACGCTTGGGATTGGTGGAGCCTAAAATGACGTCACACGTTAGTAAACTTCCGGTTAAAGTGATATTAGATTGAATTGTTTGACGTTTTAATGATAGTCGTGTGACGTCACACACCAGTGAGACGCCATATTGTCCAGAAATACGTTTTTCGCGGTAACTTGAAAATAGAGTTTTTGAGTTAGTTTTTTCACTGAAATACACAACATAATGATTTATATCCACTTTTTATGGACTTTGTAAACATTAGTTAATAACGTGAGATCGTTTTCTAAAACTTGTCAAATACCCTATTTAGTAGTATTATAATGCGTTCAAAGTTTGGGAATAGCTACAGTCTTAGGTTAAAGACTTTATAAGCAATTTAAAGAGTGTAATAGAGTCCAGAGAAAATTGAGGAACGCTTAAGTAGCTCAGGGTCAAACTAAACAGTACAGTAGAACGCCGATTAACCGAATTAATTGGAACCGGAGTCGATTCGGATAATAGAAAATTTGGATAATCGGACATAGACTGTTAATAAAGAAAAACGAAGTGTCACACATAGAAAAAAACCTTATTAAGTTTAACAAACATAGTTCTAAAATATTAAATACAATAATGGAGGTACATAGTAGCAAAAAAAACCGCGCGACGTAAAACATGTAGTGTCCCGCCTCTAGCTTTCAACCATAACATTTGAAATATATCTGGACTCCAGCGAGTTCCAACTTGTTAACCAGTTGAGCACGCGTTGCATATGAACTTAGGCTTAGAGTTACGACCCCACTTGTGTTTATTGAATGTACGATAGATTCAAGTAGTGGCAGTGTCAAAGCATAGTTTAGCATGACATGATTAAATAAACTAACATTTAAGCAAATAACTCGTTTACAATTATTAGCATGAATAGAAGCATTCGCTTTTTGAAAGCATGGTTTAATAACTGTATACATACCAAAAGAAAATATAAATATTTAATTTCATTGTATACTTTTTGATGGTTTCAATTTCAAGTCAGTTACTCATTTGTACAATATTTTTCATAAAGCCATATTTGAATGTACTTTAATTACAGTAAAGATAACAGCGCATAATACTACCACGATTTGGAACTTTATGCTAACTGTGAAAATTGAAAATATATTGGAGCATTTTAAATATCTGACCAGCTGTTGTGTATTTTTCCTTTTGAGTAAAAGTTACTTAGTTGATTTTTTTTTAAACACGCACCAATTAGCACCTAGCCCCTAAGTAAGCATTGTAGGCCTGTGTTATGAGATACTAGGGTAACGGATAGAACACATATACTGATACAATTATAACTATATTTATATAGAAATACATATTAAACATCCATGACAGGAGTACAAATGCTCATATTCATCACACAAACATCTGCCCCCACCGGGATGTAGGCAACACCTTGAAACCCGGCATACAAACCGCTCGACCACGTCATCTCGTCGTCGTAATTTAAAGTTTTCTATTCTTTACTTTGTGTCATTAGGCATCATGATGTTCTATGTGTTATCTATTTATTCCATGTGTAGGTAGCACAGAGACAGCAGAGTCAACAGCGAGCCGTACCCGCCACCAACACAGTTGTTGTGCAACAAAACCAGGTTTGTGGTTGACGAACTGTTTACTACGTAGAAATTAATTTCAACGAATAACAAATTACAAACCGTACGAAGTCTGTTTCTATTTTATATTTAAATAGCGGCCGCCCGCGACTGCGTCCGCGTTGACTTAAGTTTTTTGAAAATCCCTCAGGAACCTAATTTTTTTCGGGATAAATAGTATCGTATATCTAAATCCAGGTAATGAACTATATGTGTGCCAATATTCATACAAATCCGACCAGCCGTTTAGATGTGAAGAAGTAACAAACATACACACTCACAAACTTTCGCTTTTATGATGTTAGTGTGATGGTGTGTCTGAGTGCGACTTGATACTATTTCGGTACTATTCAAATTGTTTTTCCAATAACACGGTAACAATGGCAGAAATTAAGGTATCAGTAAGTTATTAGTTTTCAATTAACGATAAATTCACAAAATCAACGAATTAGAAATGATATGGAAGCGGAGAAGATTACGTTCTAACAAAGGCCAAAAACATGGTTCCTAACTCATACAACTAAACTTCAATACTAACGCGACACGCACACAGACAAATCAAAACAATTTGACATATCTGCAAATGAATTGAGCTAGCCATTTATTGGGTAAGATATCGCAGTTTTGACGCCTCGTCCACGTGAACGCAGTTTGCGGAGGACCGCTTTTTAGCGCAGATCGTATTCCATATAATTTCTAGTTCGTTGCACAAAATACATAACACTAATATTATAAAGGCGAAAGTTTGTGTGTGTGTGTGTTTGTTTGTTACTTCTTCACGTCTAAACGGCTGGCACGATTTTAATACAATTTGCTATGGAGTTAGCTGACACCCTGGATTTACACATAGGCTACGTTTTACTGCGGGAAAATATCCCTAATAAACTGCGGGTAACACCGCGGGGCACAGCTAGTTACTTATAAATTCAAGGAGATTTGTTTAGTAAATTCAAAGAACTATGAATGCATTCAAGTTTGTTTGATGTTGGGTATGTCGTTGTTTAGCAGGTGTTGGAAGTCGATCCGGAAGCGTTAATAAAATGCACGACAATCACACCAGGCGGCGTTGCCAGCAGCACACCCGTACCAGAAAAGGTATGTATTTCAACATCATCAGCCTATTAATGTCCCCAGTGCTGGGGCACAGGCCTTTCCTATGGATGGAATAGAGCAATTGGGCCACGAATCATCACGCAGGCCCAGTGCGGATTGGTGGATGCTAATGACTATGATGATGCAGCCGGGACCAACGGCTTAACGTGCCTTCCTAAGCACGGAGGAGTTCGAGAAAGTAAATTTTTGGTCACCCATCCAATGACCAACCACTGCGAAAGCTGCTTAACTTCAACAATCGAAGCCGAACGCTTACCATTTGCGCCATCGAGCTCGTTAACGTAATTAAAGTAAGTATTTATACAAGGCAAACTTATACATAACTCAAATTGTACAACTTTGTATTTGTATCATAATTACTTATTGATGACTACCAAAATCAATTCAATTCTGATTTTTTTCTTTGCCGTTAAAACGATTTACAGCTAAGTACAGATATCAAATTTTCATGTGATTAAGGGGTCGATTGATAACGGATATTTTGAAACCAAGGTATAAAGAGAATGATGAAAATGTTAAGACGTAGAAGAAAATTTATGCTGTAAAAACTAAATTCATTTTTTCACTTCAGGTTATAAACGCACCAGAGGAAGCAATGGGTAAGCAATATTTACCTGTCACATGTATTTTCCATAATTTCGTTGCCATATTAGCGTCTTAATTTATCTTTGATACTTTTACAGCGCAGAAAGAAGAATCCGTTCAAATACAAATAGATGAGCAAGCGCAACTGACTATAGTAAGTACTTTTAGGTTCCGTTTACTAAAATATACATTGTGATGTTAAAAAGTCAATTTTGTATTCAGATTCTTCGTTGTTTCGATATGTTGGTAGAATGAAAACGTTATTCTAATTCAAGCGAAAACTCGTTATTGCCATGACGTTTCATAGATTAAATAAATTTACAACAAGTACTAATATGCACAAAATGTTTATTATTCTTAAATCTGTACTCACTTTTCACTCTGCACAATAAGTTCAACACGTGCAATTTTCTGCTTTTGAACCTTATCAAAGAATTATGTTAAGTACCCACGAGAAACTTCAACTAATTAAATAAATATCAATTTCTTGTTTAGAAATCAGCTCAAAACAAAATGCTGGCCGATTTACTCGAGAAGAAATCCAACCCGCCCGTACAAGTGGTGCAAATGGGCCAAACGATAAACGCTCCTACCATACAAATAACCGAAACTGGACAAATAGTACAAGTTAAAGCAGATGCTGAGCCCGTTATACAAATAAACCCGGACGCGAACCAATACTTCCAAATTAAGAACGATCAAGGTCAACTCATACAGATCAAAAATGACCAGGGCCAGTTCATTCAGGTCAAGAACGACCAAGGTCAGTTCATTCAGGTCAAGAATGAAATGCTCCAATTCAAGAACGAGCATGGCCAAATAGTTCACATGAAGAACGAAGGACAGATAAATGTACAGAGTGGTCATTTGATACAGCAGGCTGTGATGCAAGCGTTGAAATCGGAGAAGGAACAGATCGTGGACACTGTCATCACTGATCACTCGTATACGGAGCCGCCTGTCAAGAAACCTAAATTGGAGGAGAAGAGAGAGGCGAGTGCATATCTATCTCTATCTAATATATAAAATTCTCGTGTCACGATGTGCGTAATTGAACTACTCCGAAACGGCTCTTCCGATTTGAGTGAAATTATATAGTCTGAGAATCGGACAACATCTATTTTTCATCTCCCTAATTGATATTGGTGGTCCACATTTATTTATTACAAAATGTTTTGTTTTTATTTTTTTATGATACATAATACAAAAATACATACAACCCTAAAATTTCACCCTTCTACCACCAACCCCTATTTTTTTATGGCGGTACGAAGTTCGCTGGGACAGCTAGTATTTTTATTAAGTAAAATTTTAATTAAATAGCCACAAAAATTTTCGTTCATCAGTAACAAGTCGCATTACATTTTAATTATTATAAAAAAAAGACCTTACCAACCAAGCATTGGTAGAAAGCTCGCCTTCTACGCGGACGGTCTGGGTTCGGTTGCCAGTCAAGGAAGGTTTTTTTTTGATTATTGAGTTTTAAAGTTTCATTTGCATCGTGGTTTCATAAGACCACAGCATTTTTTCTAACATTCTTACCTTGGCGGTATAAGTCCAATCCCCTACCCTAAAAATGTTGTTATCAACAAAAACACAACTAGTCTTAAAAAAAATTACCAACATAATCACAACACCGCCAAATGGTGCTATTATTTCGCTGTATAATGTAAAGGTTACTTCCCTAGACGCTTACTCAAATCCGAGCGGCAATTCTGCTATGCCCTACCTTATTAATTACTTTAGTTTTTTGAGAATCCCTCAGAAACCTAACACTTTTTCGGGATAAAAAGTATCCCATGTTTTAACCCAGGTCATAAACTATATGCGTACCAAATTTTATTAAAACGCGTATAGTGGTTTAGGCGTAAAAGCGTAGCAAACAAAGAAACTCACTTTTACTTTTATAATATTAGTTAGGATTAATGTAAAAACTAAAGTTAACGCGGTCGAAGTCGCGGGCGGTCGCTAGTTTATTTATATTAGCAGGATTTTACCCATTCTTACATTGCCGGCTTAGGCCTAATTCCCAACCCCGTAGAGTCCTGAAACAAAAACACAACACCACTAAATCGTACTGTTATCTCACCGTGGTCTTCCGTAAGGTGGAGGTTACTTCCCTAGACGCTTACTCAAATCCGAGCGGAAATTCTGCTATGCCTACCTTTATTAAATTATTCAAAACTGATAAAATTTCTTCAACTGGATTTGAGTTCTATCTTGCTTGATGTAAAGGTCATGGTGGAGCTAGCAAATTTGACACCTTGATTAATTTGATGCGCTGCTAGCATCATCAGTGTTTGTCTTGGGAAGGCGTTTTTTATTATTATAATGTAATTGTTATTTCAGGCTCAATCTCCTCAAGAAAGCGTGTCGAAGACGGCAGCTAATCTCTACGCCGCTCTTGCTGCATCTGCCTTAGAAGATGAAGACATGGTAAGACTTCATATTGTTTTATTTTTCATAGTTTTTCTGCAGAGTTATCGATTTACTTACTAAATACTTCCCCAAATATTTCTTACTATTCACAATTATTACTGTTTTATACCATCGAGAATTACCTACGTTTTCATGCAACAATTTGTTCTGATAAAAATATTTTTTTTTATATTTTTTTTATGTTTTAATTATTTATTGAATCTGCAATTCTTTCCATGTCTGAAATTGGATGTAGCGGCCAGCTGGAATACTATTAGCAGGAGCATTGCGTGGCAAGGTTTATATTACAAAACAAAAACATTAAAAATAATAAGTGTCGTATTTAGAATGCGTACAAATAAAAAAGGCTGACTATATTGAAAGAAGCCTCAGTAATTGTTTGTAATTTTACTAGTATTTATTTGTATGTGAAGTCATCTCAAGTTAGTTTTATTATTATTATTTCATGCCGGCACTTCACATGGCTATTCTTGTTGGCTTTTTGTCATTTTGACGGCAGGTAGTCCGTGTAATTTGTAATAAGGAATGAAAAGGAAAAACTGTTGTCAAGTTTACAAATAGCAAACACGACTGTGAAGTGCCGACAACAAAACATTAAACCTACATTAATAGTTATTTATGATATTAGTGCGGTAAGTTGGTTATTACAAACGAGTAGACGAATATAGTCACGAGTTTGTAAATACCAATTCTGCACTTAATTCATTCAAGTTTTCGAACATATTTGCGAGGAAATAATTCCTTTATCAAATTTATTACTGAAGCATACTTTTTCTAACAAGAAAATGTCGCGCATTTCCAAATGGCGCCACGTGCTGGTGGTGAAAATTAGAACTATATCTTTCGTCTCAGACAAAGGTATAGATGATAAGCGCATCCAAGGAGGTTCGACCGATAATTAGAAAAAAACCGTAAAGGATACGCACGGCGACATGTATGGGAGCGTGCGGTTAATAGTTTTACCGCACGCTCCATTGTATGGCTCGTAATTTAGTAGAACTTTCGAACAATGTAAATTATGTTTTTGAGCAAATGTGTTGAAAATTATTTTTCATACTATTTAGTTAATTAGAATTATAGAAACGAACAGTAGACAGAATGGTTTAGAATATAATATTATAGTTTGTAGTTTTTATATATTATATATATTATTCCTCAGTAAAAAAAATGTATAAGTTTTATAAGCTTTAATAATATATACATTTTAAGCAACTATTTGTGTCGATTATGGCATGATTATCTTAACTTAAAACTAAATTTAACGTCAGTCTCTCGTTTTCATTGTGTTGTAGAGACTGACAAGAATACACGATACACTGTTATCAAATTTAATTTAAGGTATAGAGTATCATGCCAGTATCGGCATCATTGTATTATTTCATATACACACACATACACTACACACTGCATACATATTACATACACATAACGACCGAAGTCACACATATACACTTACTATCACACACATACACGCATCTTTTGGTTATTATTATGAGAAACTGGATAATTTTGTAGCTACCTATTAGATAGAATAGATTTTCACTGTCCGAAGGTATTGTGGAAGTCATGCTATCTGTGATTGGGCCTGGTGACATATAGCACAGGTCTTTATTGCTGAAACCTATTTCAGGCACAAATTCATCACAAATAGAGGAGCCACAACATTGTAATTTGCAAAACAATACAAACTATGGATCTCTGTTGTAATGGAAAATAAATATATTTTCGATGTTTTTTAACTTTTAGTAGTTTTATAGTAACTATGTAGAATTTTGAATTTGAACGTAGATTTAAATAGATTTATTTTTTCCGCCTAGATACCTCCAAAACCGGAACCGGTGGAGACCTTACCGCCTCCGGTATTGATGGGCGGAGCTGGAGAAGGATCCGTGATTATTCAAGAACCTATTTTACAAGTGAGCACTTCATATCAAAACTGGAAAAGCAAAATTGCTTATACGCCACTTAGGCGCTGCTTAAAAATTAAGATTAAATAATAGTGAAATTAAGTAAATTTTTAAGCAGCACCGAAGTGGTGTATGAGCAATTTGGCTTTCTCACTGTCAATATATTTATTATATAGTATGAAACAAAGTCGCTCCCGTCCTCTGTACGTTTAAATTTTTTTAACTATTTAAGGATTTTTATGCAGTTTTCAGCAATAGGTAAAGTTAGGTTTATATGTATAACACGTGCCCGAAAGCAACTATAGATGTCGCCAAGCCAAGCGAGGGAGGGTCACACACTATTTCGAAATAAAAATAAATATTATTACTTACGGTAAGAGCCTGCGCTGCGTTAAGTGGTAGCACGGAGCGGACGCGCGCTCCGTGCACCCGCTTAACGCAGTGAAGGCTCTTACACTAATTTGTCTAGCCTAAGCAAATACTAGGTATAAGATTTGGGTTATGGAATGCTAGATTAACTTATAAAAATACATATAATAATGCATAGATGAGTATACTTTTGTTTAAATATAATATAAATAGCCATGTCTCAGGTAGAAATGGTCGTATTCATCATATAAACAGCCCTACCGGGATTCGAACTTGGGACCTCCAGACAGGGCGACACAATGATTTGACAGTGACATTTTTGATGTTGCCGATGAAATGTATTTTTGATTGGGCAATAACGTATTTTATATGCAATACATTTATAGAAGTTTTATCCCGTGAGTTGAAAAATGTGCCCTTACAATCACACTAATATTATAAAGGCGAAAGTTTGTGAGTGTGTGTGTGTATGTTTGTTACTGCTTCACGTCTAAATGGCTGGAGCCATTTTCATATATATAGGGTGAAATTGAATGTTTTAATGAAACTTCGTTAGGTTACGTGTATAGAGTATGCCTGATTTTATCGGATTTTTTTGAAGTATATTTTTTTCATGTTTTATTTATAATTTGTGTATTTTTATGTCCTTTCCTCCTTTAGAGTTATTCATTTTAAACAAACTTACATATCCAGTGAAAAACAACTAATAAATAAGCACTTCTAAAAAACAAAAAAACATTAAAATTCCACCGCGGGTCAACGACCGACCGCGCCCGCCAGCCGTTGAGTGAGTAGGTACCTTTACACAGAGCTCAGCTGACTCCTTTAATTCCACACAATACAATAAAATCGTCTTAGATGCCTTTATTGAAATTGAAATAATAAGCATCTTCTCTTAAGCAGAGAAAAAGTTTAAAAGTTAATAATAATTTTGTTACGATTGGAAATAGGAAAATGTTAAACAAAAAGAAATACTTATTGCAGTTCAATACTTGGGTCAGAATGAAATTTATAACCAGGTATTCAAAAGTACTTACGAGACCGATGTACCTATTCATTTTTTTCACTTTAACTTCCCGTATACACTTTGTACACACAATCAATCACCAAACCGACTTTCGTAAAGCCTTGTGGTTCTGCTGAATATTCCGTGACACTACAATAACAACACACCATATCCAACTCCTTATATTGAGGCCACAGAACAAGAACTAATCAAGGCATTATTTGCAAATCTTCTCTTGTCACAAATTTAAAAGAAACGCACGCGCGGTGGATAGACATGACACTGCGCTCGCTCACTGCGCTTTGCACCGCGCATAGGTAGGTAGGAAGGTATTCAACCGATTCAACGGTGGGAGCGGCCATTGCTCCCGGCCGCTCGTCTTCTGTTTTTACGTTTTTTTAGTAGTGCTTATTAGTTGTTTTTTACTTACTCTGTATGCGTGTTTAAAAAGAATAATTATTTAGTACCCAAAAGGAGGAAAGGACATAAAATATAACAATAAAAAACGAAATTTTATTTTAAATCATTTTTAAAAAATCCGAAAAAAACAGAGATACTCTATATACGTAACCCAACAATCCCACGAAGTTTCATTAAAACATTCATTTTCACCCTATATATCATTTGGTATGAAGTTAACTGGCATCCTGGATTAACACATATGCTACGATTTACTGCAAGAAAACATGCCTAAGAAACCGCGGGCAACACCGCGAGGCACAGCTAGTAATACATATAAACAGAAACAAATACACAAAAGGCGGACTTATTGCTAATACAGCAATCTCCATCAGGCAACTTAAAGAGTTACTAAAAGCACTTTCATTATTCAGGTTCAACAGCCGACTATGCAGGTTCAACAGCCTACATTACAGGTGCAACAGCCTACGTTGCAGGTTCAGGCTCCTACTTTACAGGTATGTAGTCATTATATTTTTCACTTAAAGTGCGGCCAACGACAGAATGTGATCATGATAGGTCGTGTCAGTTTCGTAAGTTAACAGAATAACATATTTGCACACTTTCTATCTAGTAAAAAAAAAGACCTGAAAATAAAATCTTATTCTGACGCCATAAGGAACTGACACGGCCTGTTGGGATCTCATTCTTTCACTGGTCACACTGCAAATAATTTTATTTGTTTCATTGTTACGTTTTTTTTTCATATTATGTTATATATCATGCACACTAATCACTTAATTAAACACTGTTTAACAGGTATAACAGGAATTAATTCCCTTTTGGTTTTAGAACTTCATATTCATTATTTCTGATGATTCGGCCGGCTTCTTTGCAGGCTTCGCGATCTCAAAACTGAACTCTTATTGATTTCTGACTCGGCTACCTTCCAAAACATTCAATCTTTTTTGCAATATTGTAAGTTATAAGTGAGACTTAAGACCGACCAATGAACCATCGAGCTGTTTAGGGTGCATTTGGTATCGCTTTTGGTCTTAGATCGCGAAAGTTCAGCAACTTCCGCAATCGCCGGTAAAAAACTTATATTTCTCTGTGCTTCAAAAAACCCTTATGTTTGTATGGCCTCTCAGGTTCAACAACCAACATTGCAAGTTCAACAGCCAATGCTGCAGGTGCAACCGATGGATGTACAAAACATTATAGCATCGCAGTCTGGCCAGATCATTTTGCAAGGTGAGAATTTATTTCTTTAAATTAATTCTGCATTTAAACCCGCCAAGTTTGATTTGAAATAGTAGAGGGGTTTCGTACCAAAATTAAATATTTGGTGCTAGATAGAGCAGGATCAGTAAAAAAAAGATTTTCTGTATAAAGACTCTTTATTTTGTATTTATAAAAGGCATTATGTCAAGTTTTTGAAACGTTCCCACGTTATTTATAAGTGTATAGTGACTTCATAAGTAATGGATATTAATAATTCTGTTGCGTATATCACTTTACAAAACGAAAATAAAAATTCTGTTTTCAAATATGATGCGGAAACGTTTCTCTAGCAAATATGGTGCCTTACAGGCAGATGACGTCACACGGCTCTCATTAAAACGTCAAACAGTATAAAGTATATTCATCATCAGCCTATTAATGACCCACTGCTGGGGCACAGGCCTTCCCTATGGATGGAATAGGGAGATTGGGCCATGACCCACCACGCGGGCCCAGTGCGGATTGATGGGTGCTAACGACTGCAGATGCAGCCGGGACCAACGGCTTTACGTGCCTTCCGAAGCACGGAGGAGTTCGAGATAGTGAATTTTCGGTCACCCATCCAATGACCGACCACTGCTAAAGTTGCTTAACTTCAGCGATCGCAGCCGAACGCGCTAAACACTTGCGCCATCGAGCTCCTCGTAAGTATATTATCAATACTTCTTTTGTCAGAAAAGTGAAATAGCTCTCAATATTAATACACATGCCAATAATTGCTTTTACTTTATTTCTTATACTGTCATTTGTTTTGATAGAGATCACATTCAGTGTCACAGTAAAATGCATGTGTCTAGAAAGCCACACCACCTTTTTTTAATAAATACAAATCTGTATTTATTTTGAAACAGAGAAGACGATATCGTCCCAGCCGACGCAATACGTCCAACAACCGATGCAAATTATCGCAACCCCAAGCTCTTCGCAAGGTAAAGTACAATTTCCGTTATTTATTTGTTTAAAGGGTGGAAAATTAACATATGGCCCGGCGGTTCGTAAGCGATCACGATAGCCTATAGATTGACGCTGGCGATACCAAAAATATCACTCGCGCCGTCGGCTCATCATCATCTTCAGCCTATTAAAGTCCCCACTGCTAGGGCATAGGCCTTTTCTATGAATGGAATAGGGAGATTGGGCCATGACCCACCAGACGCGCCCAGTGCGAATTGGCGGGTTCTAACGACTTCAGATGCAGTCGGGACCAACGCACGGTGGAATATGGTAGAACAAACGCATATCAAAATTGATTTTTATTACTGATTGAAATTGGGTAATATATGAATACAATTTAATAGTTCAAAAGTCGAAGTTTAATATTCTGCAGCGTTATTTATATTTTATTTCGTAAAAGTATTTTTTTTCATGTAGCAAAATTAAACGTTTAGGTAGCTGAGAAATATTAAGTTCTTCATTTACGTTTTTCAACGTGAAATAGTTTTAAAACTTGAAATGAAAGGTATAAGGTATTATATATTTTTGAAAAGCACACTTATCAGAGGTTAGAAATAAATACAATTGATTGTTTTTAGTACGAATATAAATTTAAAAACCAATTTAAAGAAAAAATGGAGAAATATTTTTTTTTCCTCAACTTCGTCGAATCTTTTAACATTTAGAGTTGTTTACTGATGCTTTGAATTTAATGTTAAATTATAGGTTAGCTACTCATCTAAAACATATAAAAAAATTAGCTGCGGCTTTTTGCGGTTTTCGGAGATATGTGAAAAAATCGAATACTAGTCTGGGAACGGAAATCGCTATCAAATGCGGTTTCGTATTTTACTTTTATTATCAATAGTTTGTGGTACATTTTATGAATTAATTATTTGATATTGTTATGTAGGTTTTATCATTTTGATGTCATTTTCCGTGAGAAAATAGATATCTGAAATAATTCCCACATTCTGAAACAATATAAAAAGGGCAGTGAAAAAATATGTCTCCATTACCGTTTCAGTGGTCTTTACGTCTACGTACTCTAGTAGGTACGGTTATTTCATTATTCAACATGTCTACTTTTAACTGTACTAAACGTGAGTTAATAGTGTCTTATATAGAAGGCGGAAAAACGACTGCGGCACTTTCAACATATTTGGAGGGATAACAAATTTCGGATGTCAATATATGTTTTATTATTGACCATATTCAAAGGGATGTCATCCCTTCGTTTAATAAACGCTGGAGTGAAGCAGGACGCAATAAAAATACCTTTTTAAGAAAGAACACCAATTGGTTGGATTCTGAATATTCGTTAACTATACCAACATCAGAAAACGTGTCAACAGACTCTACACCGTCTACTTCTTCTGGTAAACGAGGAAGACCGTGTGTGTCATATGGAGACTCTTCAGAATCAAGCAAAAAAAGAAAAAACACCATTTTGCTAAATGAATATGGTTTGGAGCACATTCTAAGCGCATATCTTCAAGGATTGCGTTCTATAGGAGAAGGAATTGAAGCAAAAGTTGTTGAAAAATTAAGGTTGGCTGATGCAGAGAAAAAGGTTTTCGTTATAAATCAATTAGATGATGCAAAAATAATTAAAGGGCTTACAGATGAAGAAGCATTAAGTGTCTTCATCGACTTGGAACTAACAAAGGCACAATATCTGTATCTCAGGAACGTTACAGATGAAAGAAACTGTTCTTTATTTCCACCATACTATAAAATACAGGAAATGAAACAGGTGTGCTATCCACCATCATCAACAATCGAAATCACAAATACTTATGCAAAAATATTGAGAGTTCAAGATCTATTGGATCACACTGCAGCTCGAGTTTTATCAATAGATAAGGTTTACAAGAATGGACAAAAACATTTACTATTGTATAGCAAATGGGGTTGTGATGGGTCATCTGGACAAAGCCAGTACAAGCAAGCACTACCAGAGGAGTCTAAACTTATTTCCGATGCAAATTTATTTATTACTTCTTTTGTGCCTATCAGATTAACTGACGTGGAATCAGGCGCCATCACATGGCAAAATCCATTGCCTTCATCTGTTCGTTTCTGTCGGCCTATATGTATAGAATTTTGCAAAGAAACGCCAGAAAAAACTAAATCGGTTGTAGATGAAATAAAAAATCAAATACAAACTTTGCTTCCATCAATAATTAATATAGAAGGCGTGGGAGTGCAAGTCAAGCATGACCTTTTTTTGACGATGATAGACAGAAAAGTGGCACAAGTTTTAACAGATACGCCTTCTAGTTCCACATGTACAATATGCGGAGCAACTCCTAGACAAATGAATGATTTAACGAAAGTAATAGCTAGGCCTGAAAATGAAAATGCTTATCAATACGGATTATCCACATTACATGCCTGGATTCGTTGCATGGAAATGATATTACACATATCATATAATCTATTTTTCCAAACGTGGTCTGCTACAAGCGAAGAAAAAAAAGACTCAAACAAGAAAAAAAGGCTGAAGTACAAAAGCGATTTCGTGAAGAGTTCTAAATATCGATAAACCACGACAGGGGACGGGAAATAGTAATGATGGCAATACTGCTTGGAGATTTTTTTACAATGCTGCCTGTTCTGCTGATATCACAGGGATTGGCATTGATTTAATTAAACGGTTATATATAATTTTGCAGGCTTTGTCATCTGGTATAGTGGTAGATAGTAAGAAATTTGGTAATTATGCTCTGGAAACTGCAAGAATATACGTGAGTAAATATTACATGCATTACCTGTCCACAAAATTTTTATTCACGGACAGAGTATCATAAACCATTTCGCGGTATTACCAATTGGGCAACTTTCAGAAGATGCTCAAGTATCTCGCAATAAGGACTATAAAAAATTTCGCTTACACCATGCTCGGAAATGCTCTCGAATAGCTACAAACGAAGATGCGTTTAATACACTACTTTACACTTCAGATCCATATATAACGAGCATAAGAAAACCATATGCAAAAAATGTAAAGGAGCTCGATGAAGATACTTTACACCTTCTCAAGGTTAATGAACTTATTTCAGATCCTGAAGCTCACCGGGTGTAAGATGTCAATCTTGCTGAGCAAAAAAAAAGAAATATATATTGCGATAATTTTGATTTGTTTCTGTATGTTAGCGTAGTGTTAAAAATATTTTACCATTTTTAATTTTATATTATCAATATAATATGATAGTTATCTTAATAGAGTAATTAGCATTAAGAAACAGACGTACAATATGTTTCTAAAAAATATTTCAGTAAATAAATAATACTATTTTAAATCATACTGTGACTTTTCTTTTTTAATTAAAAAAAATACGCATAATTCCAATTCATCAAACATTACTTATATGAATCCTTATGTATCACTTTATATTATAGCAAAATTTTATAAGTCTATCTTTCAAATTGACGGAGTTACAGATTTTTAATCCGAAACACACCGAAATATTCCACAGTGCAACGGCTTAACGTGCCTTCCGAAAAGATTTTTGGTCACCCATCCAATGAGCGACCACTGCGAAAGTTGCCTAACTTCAACGATCATAGCTGAACGCGCTAACTACCTGCGCCATCGAGCTTCTCTGCGCCGTTGCCTACTCTGACCCAATGGGCGTTTCTCCATTCACCGGCCCGGCACCGGCATGGCTCCAGGGGGTCTACTCTCTTTTTCTGAAACGAACTGTCGGTAACGAAGTTCAAACGAAATTTAATTTCGTAAATTTAAGGTTATAGTTAATTTGAACGATAAACTATCAAATAGAAGCTTTCTTTGAGTAGGCTTAGAAAGTCAATCACCTCAATGTATATTCCGATGGCGAATATTATTGTAATTAAAAACAAACCAGAAACATAATAAGAAAAGTGCGAAGTTTCGATCGAAATATCGTTTTTCGTTGAATTAGAGCAGGCCTCCAGACCGGTACCTGCGCCGGCGATTCGTTTTCCACTGCCGGTTTACGCCTTGCTTACAAGCGGTACCCTAAGCACGAACCAATATCGAATTCGAATAGTTTGCGAGTCAGAAATGTCATTGTCAAATGTGTACTGATTTTTAGTTCTCGTTACCTACGTAATCTGTGGCGCTGCTGTCCAAGTTTCCATACAAAATTTGACATTGACATTTCGCACTCGCAAACTATTCGAAATCGATAATGGTTCGTGCTAGGGGTACAGACTTTAGCGCTTCGACACGTACAAGCGTATAAAATAGTCTCTTTAGGAGCGGACGCGAGCTGAGAGACATTTGAGAAATACACGCATTGGCAAATACCGTATGATAGGGACAACAATAGTCAACGCTGAAAATTGCGTTTAAAATTTTTAAAATTCGAGTTTTTTAGCTCTCGAATTCCTTCTCGAAAAATAGATAATATATGTAATGAAAATTTACTTAAAGAATATAAAGTTATACTATGCCTCTATGTTTTGATTTTTTTAATCTCCGCAATAAAAAAAATATATTATATTTGGTCTTTTTCGAGGGTTTCTAGTTTCTTTGAAACACAAGTTATCGAAAAAAGGAAGACAGGTATACTTAATGTATGTAAATCAATTCTTAGTGATAAAAATAAAGGCGGAATCAGTCGAAAGTGTTTATATGGAAAAAACATTGCCCGTCTCCCCTCTCAAGAAATGATTGTAATATTTAAGACGCAAATTAAAACACAGAGTTATTCAATTAATAATAAAAGTGAGGTTCTTATAATTAAAATGAAAAATGTATTTATTGGAACTAATTAATAAGGAATATATTATCCTATCCGCTGTATGCGGAAAATCAAAACTCAATTGATCTCTATTGGAGTAGCATCCCTAGTATCAGGAATTTATTTTATAGCGTCAAGTAGATTATTCATTATTATTTTTATACTATTTGTAGTAAACAAAAAAGTTAAACTTATTGAGTAGTAAGTAAGTAAAGTAAGAAGTAATTAATGTTAATTCAGTAAAGTTAAAAACGCATGCTGTGCTCTCCTATAAGCGAAGGGACACTTAGTTGAAATCAAAATTCGTATAAGCACTTAGATATTCTTGGTGTAGCTACTCATTGTTGTGAGAGTCTAATAAATAAATTATACCCTATTTGATAAATTTAGAAAATTAAGAAAATGTATCCAACAATATTCTTAAACTCTTTTCGCATAAACGAAATACGAGTCTCTGGATACTCTTACCCGCCCCACGTACTCACACACGCACACGGCTACTATACATATACAAATCACATGCAATTTTGCCGGCTGGCAGTGGGAAGCTTGCTATGCCGGCAACGGCGCGAATCAACGCCGGGCCGTCGCCGGCGACAGCAAGTGAAAAAAAGAGCCATATCTTTATATATATAATTCTTCTGTGAGTGTGTATGTCACTGAACTCCTCTTAAACGACTGGACCGATTTTGATGAAATTTTTTGTATGTGTTCAAGGGGATCTGAGAATGGTTTAGATTCACAATTTTGTCCGCTGGACAACCCCTATTTTTTTTTAGGGCGGTACGAAGTTCGCTGGGTCAGCTAGTATTCTTATAAATTTTTGCTTCCCGGTGAGATGAAAATCGCCCAATCTCTTATTCCGTGGAACCCTGCTTATAAAGTCATCAATATGTTATTACAGCTTTATATGTAAAGGAGATTGCTCAGCTTCCATACATGTTTTGCCTAAAGACCAATAATCATGAAAAATTGTTTCCTAGATTCGAAATTATATATAAATTACTGTAGAAACGAATAATATTGACGGACACCCCTGAGAACTTCTATAAACCATATACACTGAACATATTAAAATAATAAAAAACAAATAAGTTATATAGTAAACTAGGGAAATCAAGCCAAGTACCGAAATTATGGATTAGATTCAGGTATATAGAGCATATAGATTAACAGATAGTTGCCTGTTTTTAAAGTTAATGCATAAGAGTAACTTTTAAAATCAGGTGTCATTTCCGGATATAATAAGGTACTCTGTGACAGAAACTGTGTGATGATTGTGAATGAGCCACAGATTAGAGACAATTTTTAAACTCTCGTTAACCAAAGAAAGCTAAGAGATTTAGGTTCTATAGCCATATATTCAGTAGCTTCATTATTTTTGTTATGTTTTTAAGATAACCATATTTTAGATTTTTAGTGTATCACACCTTATAATTTTATTTATTTATTGAGTAATAGTCAGGGAACGTAGGCCCATAGAAAGATACCTTAAAGTCTAACATATATACAGGTTATAATGTGTTTATGGAGGTGTTTGGCGAAAAATGTATGGCAATAGACTTTATGATGGCGCACCTATAATAATTGTGTGAGCACATTTGCATCTAGTGAAAATGATTTAGTTGTGGATATTAATACCACAGTGTAATAAAAAAAAAAAATTATCGATCTTTACAAAATGGATTTGTTTTTATGTTATATAAACAACTTCGATCAGTCTTTGGCTGAATGTTACTACACCCATAGCCATTAAAAATGATTCGTATGTTTTCCAAACCGGTAAAATTAAAAGTCTTTTTTAAAGTAAATATATTATACAAAGGTGTCCGTTGAAATGTAATGACTGTAAATTAAATTATAAATTACGCCAAAAATTACCGTGTATGTCAATATTTTTTGTGCAAATGGGCCAATTTGAGCAATCTCCAGTGCTAATATCCCTTGAGGAATCCGTTAGAGCGTTTGGTCTGCGATTTCTACAATATTCAACTAATTTTTGCAATGATTATTTAATTTTTATTATTAATTCATACCAGGGAAGACGTGTGCCTGAGTATATAGAATTTGATGATGATTATGAAGAATCATTATTATATTGGACCAGTGTGAAGTCAATAGTAGACAAATAAAAATATTTTATAACACATTTGCTTGTGAAGGGTCTCTTATTGCATCAATTTCAATATCATAATCTATCACATTACACACGCGTGTGGTAATGTAAACTAAAACGCACGGCTTATTATGTTCCGTCTAAAAACGAACGATACTTTTTTAAATCTTAGCAAAGAGTTTTTATGTCAGAAAGGTAGTCAACATTTTCTTAATAAAATTAACTTTGAAAGATAAAATATAATATATAAACATTTAATTCTTTAATTTGATTCATTTTGACAAAACGCCAGAAGTTGAAAAAGGCTACGCTAAGCCTCTTGCCCGAAAAATCCACGGATAGATACTTACAGTCAAGTGTATCAAAATTTCATCTTATGGAAAACAAACAAAGGTGCAAATTCATTTTCAGAAAGTACGTACGTAGTTTGTATTATTTCCTCGCAAATGTGTTATAAAACGTCGTATGACATACGTGCGGTTTGATAATTACAGCCTCTGCCTTCTTATAGCCCTCACCTACGGCTCGGGCTAACAATATCGCCTCGGCTAAGGCTGTAATTCTCAACTTACCGCACTTATGTCATAATGTACTATTACATTCAACACAAAATTGTAAACATTTCTACTAACATATACTTTAAATGAACTCTTTTTATTGCAGGTGGTTTGAGTTACATTACTCAAAACTTACCTGGTAATATGATGCAGAAAACAATTATTATAGTACAGGGTCCCACAGGAGGTGGTCCTCTTACTTTGACGGTAAGTCTTATTCTAATCGGAACTAGGTTTATGTTATTATTAATATGATACGCTGTAAAAAAATGACTGTGATAATAATTAAATACCAAAGAAACTTTGCAATAACATACAAAATTGGGTCAAAATTTTGAACTTTTTATTGTTTAACTGGAAATATTTTTACGACCGTATTTAAAGTTCTTTCTTGTTAATCCGTAGTGCAAACGCATCTAAAACAATCTTATAGGAACACATAAATTAAATTATAACTTAAGATTATGCCAAATCACAATGTGTACAATTTACAAAGGTGAACAACCCCGGAGGTCTGGACGAGGCAACGCTAAACAGCCTTATTGCGCAGGCAACAGAGGCCATAACCCAACAGCAAATTATCCAGGTTACGAACGAAAGTAGCTTGTCACGCTTCCGTCACTAACCAAAAAAGCCGCCTTTGGGAACTTTCACGCAAATCATAATCATTTAATTTTCTTAATTAATATTTCCTTTTCTTTTATAATTGCAAAATTCACGGTTCTAGAGCTATTATTTATTTACACACAAATCTTAGTTCTTCCCTAACTATGCAAATCGTTGCCTTATTGTGCAGACAACGGAGGCCATAACCCAACAGCAAATTATCCTGGTTACGAATCAGTAGCTTGTCATGCTTCCATCACTAACTTACGCACTATGCGGTCTTTCACGCAAAATTATTATATATCCATTATAAATATGATTTCCTTTTTCTTTTATTGCAAAATTTTCACGGTTTTAGGGATTTACCTGTCTATTTTCCCAAAGATCTTAGTTTTTCTCTAACACAATGCTTTGTTCAATTTTATTGCAAATAGATGCTTACCAAAAAGGGTCGCGAATCTGGTTATAGCAGTGATCGTAAACCAATTTTCAACATCAACATTTCCTTTCTTTACATGGCCAAATATTCATGATTCCAGGGTCTTGTCTATCTATTTTTACACATATGTTAGTTCTTCCTTAATACAATGCTATGGTCAAAATAGATTTTTACTAAAAAGTGTTGCGCATTAAGATAATTTTGCGCATTTAGATAATTGTCCTTAAACGCATAAACGCATATGACCTTTTGTTCTTCTGGATTCATCGTTCATTCAACGAGGCGAACTAGAGTCATGTTTCGAAGCGTTCTTGAAAACCGTGTGGGGTGATGCTATACGCCTAGAAAATCATTCAGAGGTCTCGCTTTCCCGGCCAGAGGTCTTTGGATCCAAGGATCCAGCCGTTTCATACGCTGTACAAATTGAAACTTGTATACTAATTGAAACCTGATGTTGTCTAATATGTGAAGAGAAAACTTTTTTTAACAATTTGGTTTTTAAATTATTTTGTATTTGTGTTTGGGTTTACTTTTGATTTCATTCTAAACCACACAATGGTTTTGTTGTTAATGAGGCGATTTTAACCAGAAAAAGCTTAATTTACTTTCGTTTTCAATATATTCTATTCGTTAACTGTTAAATTGATAATATATAATGTATCAAATGTCATGATTAATAAGATTTCAATTCGCCAAAGTAGGCGATTTGGTTTTTGGCAAATTATTGTCAATTACAGAGATGATACATGCTTTAGACCCCACCTATGTAGTTTTCACTTTTTAGGAAGGTTAAGTCCAGAAAATATTAAAAACCATAATTTAAAGTGTACAAATACGAGTATAGTTTAATGTCTACTAACCAACCAAAAATTAGATATTTATATTAATTGAGGCACAGATATTTACAGATTTCGCAATTCTTGCATTGATCTTTTTAATTTGAACACATCCTTTAGAAATACACTGCTAATACGATGGTTATTTTTGTAGTTATACTGACCTCTCGTGTATACAGGGCATCAAACTTTCATAAGTAAGATGCTTTAATGTGATAAAATTATTGTAAATTAATTAAATGACAATACATAGTCCTATTAGCAGTGTGAGTTTATTATATATATTCAATCACCTTTTTCTTTGCTTAAATTGTCTTTGGTACCTTTCTAAATTTATTACTAAAGCTTCTCTAATACTCATTATTCATAAGTTATAATATAGTTTTAAGGTGTTTTTGAATGTGACGTTTATTCATTCATGTCTATTTGATGTATTACTATGAAACTTGGAAGTGGAAAAGTGGAAGCTCTCAATCAGGCTTGTCTCTATTAGGACTTATAATTGCTTAAATTCGATCTTGATGATTGGAGGACATTGTACCATTAACCGTTATCGAAAGCAAGCGATAAACGCCTTTAATACCACGTTAGATTAAATTATTAATAGAATTTATGAGCTATATTGACTGGACAAATATTTTCCTTCAAAGGTTTTTAACTAGTTCACTGTCATTGCTTACCTACCTGTTTAATGTGAAAAATATTTAAAGATCAATGTGTAACAAATAAAAACAAAAAGAAAAAAAATATACATAGCACAAAATCGGGAGCAGTGGCGTGCATTAGGGGAGACCTATGTCCAGCAGTGGGCGAACATGGTTTGATGATGATGTGTAACAAATAACTCGTGTCATTAAAGAAAGACATCGAAAATGCCGACGCAAGACATTTTGTGCGAAAGGTACAGAATGTCTTCGTCATCATTTGCGATTCCTGTTTTTAACGACACGAAATGTGTCAAATAGGGTTAAGAAAGTATTATATATGAATAAATAAACGGCACATTTATTTTGTAAACATTAAGTTACCTGATTGTATCATAACTTCGTGGTGACAAAATTGTTTTATATTATTGCACGCACAGAACTCGGGAGTAATACAGTCCACGCAGAGGGTGATTGTGAGTCAGCCGACTCTAGTGAGCACGGCACAGCCGATCACTGTGGTCAAAACGGCCATTGCGCAGGTTCTATGCACATTCACTGTACTATGATTAGCGAATCGAGACCTTTTTCCCGTTGATTTTGTGTCTCGTAACCAAGCAAACCTTATATTTGAATTTTTCAAAGATTCATCGATAATTACCATTTAACTGTGGCAACAGCCTTTATTACGAAGCACCAAGACCTTATACTCACTTCAAGATTTTGCACTCCTTGTCTTGGATTAAACAATTAGGATAGGATAGGATTTTTATTAAGGAACTCTATCTATTAACTCTGAAATTTGATTTGAACGAAGAACTACTTTGATCCTTTTTCGATTTGAATAATATTACAGAAAAAATGATTGTATTTGTTTCTAATGCAGGCACTTCATATGGCTATTCGTATTTGCTATTTGTAAACTTGACAGCAGTCTCTCCTTTTCACTCCCCATAGGGCATGATAAGGATATACTGCTGTCCAGTTTATAAGTAGCAAATATAAATAATCACGTGAAATGTTTCATAAGTTTAGTTCTTAAAGTTTGAATCGATACGTCATGACATGATTGAAGACTGTAATTCGATATCAAAATTTATATTTATCGTTATGTAATAGATCTTGAATCGCTAATCATTGTATTAATATATCGATGTGCTTCGTAGTGTAGTGGACATTATATTATTATTATGGCAGTGCATGACATAAGTGTTAGGTACATATAAACTAGAGTTAATATTTTAAATCGTATATAAATGTTCTTAATGTTTAAATGAAACTTGTTATTTAATCAAATGTTTTAACGCTTATTTTCTGTTAGTATTGGTTTAACTAAGTACTAGGTATTATTCTGCATTTATGAAATAATGAATGAACTGGATACAATAAAAAAGAGATTAAAAGAAAAAATACACTGTTTTGCATGACACTTATTATAATAAAATATGTATTTTCTGATCTATTTACTTATTTGGGTGCTAAGGTGTAAGGTTACGTTATTTATGTAGTTAAATTTAATTAGTAAGTTTATATTTGTTTGATTAGCATTCTATTAGATGAGTAGTGGTAACTTCGAGATTCGTTTTGCTAATTTATATTTTACGATCCACAGAACGCACCCCAAATAACTCCGAGCCAGCAACCAATTATAACCGCTCAACCGCAACCACATAAAGCTCAAATCGTCAATCAACCGCAGGCCCAACAAATAGTGGTTACCCAAAAACAACCGCCGGCCCTAATAAGCACTTCATCCGGCAGCCAAATTGTGGGCAACCAACAAATTATATCTGGCAACCAACAAATTATTTCCGGCAACCAACAATTAATACAGGGCAACCAGCAAATTATAGCGGTTTCTAACAACCAGCAGATTATAGTGAATGCTCCTATGAAACCGGGCGTTCACAGAGTAGTTCAACAACCAAGAACTCAAGTTGTAACTAATGTGCAACAGACCTTTGTTAGCCAACCCACTGCTACTGTACAGAGCGAAATTAAACCTACAGTAATACAGGCGAATACGGTAATTATGCATTTGATATTAATTTTATATGCCCTGGTTTTTGATTTTGCTATTAATTAAGGTACAATAGTGAGTTAATATACGGCCTTGGCGAGTTAAGTTCTTACCATCGTTTGAAAAGGGATTTGCCAGTTAAGTACATACTGCTCAACTGTCCGATTTTAGAACTCGCTACTGTACTTACCGAAGTGTTAATGAGTTTTGACATTAAATTAAAACATAGGAATAGCAATAGGACAAGGACAGTAAAAAAACTTAGCTTTACTATTATAATATTATGACAGTTAAATTATACATATAAAATTATAATTCAGGTGAACCTATTCACCGGATAACTTAAGATGAATGTTTTCCAAACATGAAACTTAAAAAGTGAAATTTAATGCGATCGTCAATCCACCACTTACAGTTTCGCTGAGCATAAGTAATAAATAATATTTTCGAAAAAAAATTAACCAAATTTACAAATCAGCTTATATTTAAAATATAGAAAGTCAAAACTAGTTTAATTCAAAAAGGCATAACAGCGTCGCATATTTAATTATATTATATTTTTCCACTTGCCATTTCAACTTCACTGTTGTAATGCGTCAAAACGGCCATCATAGCGTACCACAACTATAATGCTATAAAATTTCGATTAAAATATTCATTACAACAATGCAAAAGCTACTTGGGATACAATAAAAAAAGTATCAAATTTAAATAAAAACTCGTGCTCCTCAAGTGAACTGCTATCTCGGCCTAGTCATGCCTCTATTGATTCTATAAACGATTTCAGGCACGGGTAGAGCGCCCCATCGCAGCTTCAACTCATCAGTGCAAATATCACCTACATTAATTAAACTCAATGACCTTATTAAGCACAGCCATCGATGAAGTAGAGCGAACTATCTTAAGCCTAAAAAATACTTCCGCAGTAGGATGGGATAAAATTCCCACATGCGTTCTCAAATCTTGTAAGACGGTTTTGTCACACGTCCTTACTTATGTCTTTAATATCTGCTTATCAACCGGCGTGTTTCCGAAGGTCTTTAAAAAAGCAATTGTTCATCCAATTTATAAAGCTGGAAATAGAACTAACGTGTCTAACTATCGATCTATTTCTGTCTTGACTGCAATTTCTAAGGTCTTTGAGAAGATCCTTAGTCGTCGTCTTATTAGTTATTTAGATGCTAACCATAGTAGCTGGTAAGTCTACGTAAGACGCTGTTTTGGAGTTAACGGATACTGTGGCTAAATTCTTGAACAGCAAGATTAAGAATATGGGTATATTTTTGGATCTCACTAAGGCCTTTGACACTGTTTCCATACCTATTTTACTTAGAAAACTTGAGTTTATTGGAATTCGGGGTCATGTCCTAAATATGTTTAGAAGCTACCTGAGTGATCGTATGCAGTGTACTAAGATTGACGGCTACGTGAGCAACGATAGTTTTATCCGTTATGGCGTCCCACAAGGTAGTGTTCTTGGACCCACCTTATTTTTAATATATATAAACGATCTTTGCAATCTAACCCTCAAAAACTGTAAGATTGTAACATATGCCGATGACACCGTTCTACTAATTCATGGCGTGAATTGGCAGGACGTCCGTAATGCTGCGCATAATGCTTTAAGCAAAGTTATGGATTGGCTCTCCGATAATCTTCTTACTTTGAATCTGGACAAAACCAAATACATAACTTTTTCGCCCTCAACAGTGTCACTTCCTCCAACTGCTTTCACACTTTATGCTCACAGGTGTCATCAAAACCCTGACTGCAATTGTATCCAAATTACACGTACTTGTTCTATAAAGTATCTTGGAGTTGTATTAGACGCAACCTTATCGTGGAATTCGCATTTGAATTACTTAATCCCAAGAGTAAGGAAGCTTATTTTTATTTTTAGAAATTTAAGAACATCGGCTGATTTCACAACCCTTAGGGCTCTTTCAATTTATGCGTTTCTTGACGGCCTGCTGCGGTGCCGAAGCGGTGCGTTTGTCGTACAGCGTACGGACGATCCTTTTTTTTTAATACAAAACGCGCGGTGCGGTAACAGTCCTGTTGTCGAGCGTTCGCAGTACCGGCGCCGCACTGTTGCCGCACCGCGCGTTTTGTATGAAAAAAAGGATCGTCCGAACGCTGTACGACAAACGCACCGCTTCGGCACCGCAGCAGGCCGTCAAGAAACGCATGTATTGAAAGCACCCTAAAGATGGTTTATTATGCACTTGCACAATCAATGTTAAATTATCGTATAGCAGCATGGGGCGGCGCAAATATTTATTCGCATAGAAAGAGCACAAACAGCAGTTTTAAAAGTAATGGCGTTTAAACCTTTGCGATTTCCTACTGCTGACCTCTACTCTCTATGTAATGTCCTGACTGTCAGACAAATGTTTTTGTTAAAAATAATATTGCGCAAACATAGTTTTACTCCCTTTGATGCAAATATTATGAGGTTACGTAGATTTGACAGAGTTTGCAATACGATGCCCTGTAGGATTGCACTGGCAAGACGTTAATATTAATTCATAAGTCCTGCGATGTATAATATTGTGAACAAGCAACTTAATATATATCCCCTGACCTTAAGAGAATGCAAAATTAAATTAAGTAAATGGCTTCAAAATTTGACATACAGTGAGACTGAGAACATAATCAAAAACTAAATCATGAATCATGGACATAATAATCTTTATAATTTGTTTTGGAAGGAAATCATAGAAAATTTATTAGTGTTGAGTTGCACATTTAAGTAGGTATATTTAAATTTATTTTAATTATTTTTGTGTAACCTTTGCTTATTATTATTATTTTTCTCTGGAGGTGGGCGTTAGCGGCTGCAACACAGTTTTATACTTCAGCAGCTTCTAATGTACACATGTTTTATATAATGTCTTTTTTCGTTAATAAAGATTTATTATTATTATTATTGTTAAGGTAATAAGTCTGTGTTTCCTCTATATTTAGAAACCTTCGCAACCAGTGGCGATGCGGCAAGTGATCACCCGTCAGCCGGTGATGATCGGCAACACGAAGATAGGCGAGAAAGAGATGGTTGTCACGCAGCCCGTGCCTATCGAGGTAATTGATAATTGATCTGTAAAAATTCGATTAAAAAATGTCAAGTATTCGTTATTTACAAATGTTAAGTACTGCTAAAAGTACTTCTTTTGACATAATTTAATAATTTGAGCATAATTGATCAGTGCATCCGCCCGGATAGCGGAGGGTGCGGGTTCGAATCCCATCTGCTGTCTGTACCGCGTGGATTTTTTCTCATTAATTTACGAGTGTTAATAATTTTACAGGCACCTAAACCTACAACGTTGAAGTCTGGATCGACGCCATCACCTCAATCTACGACACAACCGCAGACCAGCGTCCAGGAAGACACGCCGTGGATATGCCATTGGAGGGGGTGTGGCAAGTAAGTGATAGATAATAATCTATGTGTTCCAAACATTCCAATCCGTTCAGCAGTTCTTGTGTGATTAAGCAACAAAAATCTTTCATAAACATTAAATTATGGGATTTATTGTTCCGGCACTTTACTTGACTATTCGTGTTTGCTATTTGTAAAGTTGACGACAATATCTTTTTTTTTAAGAGTGTCATAAGGACAACTTCTGTCAACATGACAAATAGAAAGCACGAATAGCCAAGTAAAGTGCCAGCATAATAAAAACTATTATTTAATGTTATGTGAGAAATTTTTGTTTGTCTGCCTCCCAGAAAAATATCTGGCTCCTGTACAATCTTGTGATACTAGTGTGATAAACCCAAATTTGTGTTTTGATACCCCTTATTATACAACAGTTGCACAAGTCATTAAATTATTATTGCACACCATTATTTAATTAAAATACTTCTTTGCGAGCATAAAGTTTATAAACCACTGAGTCTGTAAATGATACGAAACGTCAATACTCGTTTTAAAAGAGTTTGATTTAATGTTATAAGCATATTCTACGAACACGAGAAACGATATTAAAAACCCTAGATACGCCACGTGCGCTCAAAATGTGTCCCAATCTTGAAGTACAGTGACAGTGCATTCAGAATTACGATATAGAGTTATAGAAATAAAGTCTATATATTTTTCCGCCTATAGCAACAAGTTGTAAATTTTTACGAGCTTGCTGTCTACGTACTCTTTGATGCATGCGTTTAAATTACGACCTTATATACTGTGCATTAATGCTGACTTTCAATGTTTAGATAATGCTTTATTTCGTTTTTGACTACGCGATCATCTTAAGCCTCGTTGACACGGGGCGAGTTTGCAAGCTATAAACCAGCGAGGTCGCTAGCAGCTTGTAAACTTGCCCCGTGTCATCGGCTTTTTTACAATCTGCTAGTTGACTATCCGATATAACTCTCTAACTAGCTCACTCGATAGCTTTTAAACTCGCCGACTAGCAGCGTAAACTAGCCCCGTGGCATCCAGGCTTTACGGAGCTCGGCTACGATTTTGTTGATGTTGAATCTAGGATTTTAAAATATTATTAAACACGAGATCCAAATGGCTGACCGTCCATCGGTTTACGGTTTAAGATCTTTATTCTCATAAAGAATTACAAATTCACTTACCATGAGAACATAATATATTTTAAATAATAATTTCGTTTAATACGGAGATACATTGAAGTGTGGGGTAGAACCAAAAATAGTGTCATTGCTCATTGATTACGTTCGGGCATAGATGGCACGGTTAGTTAACAAATAAAAACTCAGACATAGCTCCGCGTCGTAATAGAAGTGGCTTGAGTTGCGTGTGTTAGGAGTTAAGTGTGTAAATAATTTATTTTTATTAAATTGCCAGTTCAACACCGCTGTTCATATTTTATTTGATGCAGTTATATTATCATGGATTATTCCTAGGACGTTCCCGAATTCCTCGGACGTTTTCACGCACGCGGCTAAAACGCATTGCCCAATGAACGCGGGCGGCGAAGCGCCCTGCATGTGGCTGGACTGCGACCGAGTGCCGAGGAAGACGTTCGCTCTACTCAACCATTTGACTGACAAGCATTGCAGTCCTCACGTAAGTATTGATTTTATGTGGATCATACCGGCTACTCAACCATTTGACTGACAAGCATTGCAGTCCTTACGTAAGTATTGATTTTATGTAGATCATATCGGCTACTCAACCATTTGACTGACAAGCATTGCAGTCCTCACGTAAGTATTGATTTTATGTGGATCATACCGGCTACTCAACCATTTGACTGACAAACATTGCAGTCCTCGCGTAAGTATTGATTTTATGTGGATCATACCGGCTACTCAACCATTTGACTGACAAATATTGCAGTCCTCGCTCGTATTGATACTAGTATTGATTTTAAAAACGCATTGCCCCTTGAACGCGCCCGGTGAAGCGCCTAGCATATGGTTTAGAGCAGTTCGTATTCCATATTATTTCTAATTCGTTGGTTTCTGTGGATCATACCGACAAATATGTCATGATTGTCATGATTCAGGGTCAAGCAAGTGCCCCGAAATATTTAAACCTTCGCTAGCTAATTAGCGTGGAGTATAGATAATTTGGAAGGAGCATGATGGTGCAAATGGTTAGCGGGTTCGGCTGCGATCGTTGAAGTTAAGCAACTTTCCGGTGGTCCGTCATTGGATGGGTGACCAAAAATGTACTATCTCGAGCTCCTCCGTGCTTCTGAAGGCACGCTAAGCCGTTGGTCCCGGCTGCATCTGCAGTTGTTAGCACACACCAATCCGCTCTTTGCCCGCGTGGTGGGAAATAGTCCAATCTCCCTATTTCATCCATATGGTAGGCCTGTGCCCCAGCAGTGGGTACATTATTAGACTGATGATGATGATGATAGAGTTGCTTTATCGTTGAATGCTCCACTTCCCCATTGTTTTAGGCTCTGAAAGCGATTTACAACGCAAGACGACACACTGCAGCAGAAGCCGAGAATAATAAACCAGTTACTCTCGGCTACCCACCTAACGCAGCACTCGCTGCTTTGAACAAACACGCTGCTGATATGTTCAACCCTAGGGAGTTGATGGTAAGGTTGCTTTTCCTTTGGCACGCACACTAAAGCATAGAAATAGCTTAAATTCAACTCATGAATTCGAATCATATAGTTATATTATTTAACATATAGACCAGAAAAGAGACAAATATGTGTTGCTTAATATAAAATAATTTTAACGTTTTTATAGACCACTATTCCAAATCAAAATGGATATCTTTGGCCTTTGTACGCCTTAACGATACTTTAGTTACCTTTACGATACCGAATCAAAAAGCGATCTAATGTCAAATGCAATTTGCCAACACGCCACCAATACTTTCTGGTGGGGTAATACGTTCAGTCTATGCGGGGGTGTATGCACAATCGTCATTTCATTAATTTTATGTTTTATTAGTTCTTGTTCTGAGGAAATATCGAACAATAGGTGATTGACAGATAATTGTTGAAAAACTATAATGATTCCAGACTGCATAGCTTGTTTTATCGCCTTTTAAGCTAGTCGGGATAGTGTTTAGTCACTTTAAAGGGTCAAATTTTCACGAACAATTTCAAACTTTATTCTAACGTTTTAAGGTTAAGATTGAAAACAGTTCCAGATGTGTTTTGTTGATTGTATTAAGGAGATATTACGCTTTATGTATCCCAAAATTTAATTACAAGATATAAACTTGAAAATAACATTTTTACTGAAAATGTTAGTGGAAGTTAACAGGTTTAGACCTAATTTCACCACAACTTCGTCAGATCGTTTGTAAGCTAATGATTCTATATAACTAACAAGGCTGTTGAATTAATTTACGTTCCATATTGAAAATGTAACAGATAATTACTAAATCAACCATCAAGCGAATGACTTGAGAACCATTCACTCATATTTTAAAACGACTAGAAAATAATGTCATTATTTGTTTGGCATAAAATTAAATATGATGACTTCTCCTATTTTCAGCGGAAGCTTAATTGGTAGCGCGACCAAAACTGAAATAACATTCACTACAATAGATTTAATACACAACCATTTGTGTGTTTGTTTTTGCTCGTTGTAATGTGGTTTGTTGTTTTGAATGTATGTGGGATTTTTCATACCATTTTTATTAGATTAGTAAGTATAAAATGTAAACACCACGGACTTCTTTCAAAATTGTTATTAAAATTATCAGAAGGCGTAATATGCTTTCTAAATTATCTATATTATCTAAAACATCTTCATCTTTGAAAATAGTATTGTATCGGTGTCCATTTTGACGTAGTTTGACATATAATAATCGTCTGTTATGGTAGCCATACACACTACGAGAAATCGTTAAGATCAGACTGTACAGTTCGAACGGAACAGTTTATCGTACGTGGCGTACGTATAGGAAACTGCAGTTTTATAACATACACGCTACGATTTATCGGTACCGTTCGGACTGTACAGTCTAATCGTAACGATTTCTCGTAGTGTGTATGGCTACCATTAATTATTTAACGCCGTGATAAAGTTTAACGCCGCGTCGAGGAGGAAAATCCTTTCTTAGTGTTTGATGAAACACAAAAACACATTAACTGTCCTTAAAAGGACTTAACAAGCTGTTAAATGAATAGCAAAGCTTGGTGAAATTAGGTCTTAAATCAGTGTTTATTTTTATAATTATTTTTAACAACGACAAATAAATATCTTGATATCAAGATTTTTGTGCAGAACACTATAACAATTACAATGTCTCATATCAATCGTTTTAAGTTTTGACTTGATTATCACTTTACATTAATATAACACGCTGCGCATTATTTTCACATCACATTTAGAGCAGATTTTTCAATTCTACGATAAGATTTAACTATTTTCCGAGTAAATTATTATCTAAAAAAAGATGAATGACAAACTGACTCGATTCTTAATTTTTTTTCGTATAAAATCGTTAATCTTTTTTACGTATACGTATTTTCCAGTACTTGAAAAATCAGCTCTTAGATATATTTTATTATTATTAATAATAATTTATTGACATATTGCCATATCGCTTGCTCAAATCTTATCAAATGTTAGTACAAATAAATACATTTGGCCAGATTTTGTGAAGGGATACCACTTGTTACTGTTTGTGATTTTATTTTTTTAAACCTAAGACCAGGCAGTGCTGTATTATTTATTGTATTATTTATGAGTAGCTGCCTTTACACGTGCTTTATTGCGGAAAAGATAACCGATATATAAATATAGAAAAGGATAGCGATCATGGTTGCATGATATATGAGTTTTCCCGCACTGAATCCGCTCACACTCCTAATCACGAGTGAAAGGGCATGTACTGTTTGCGATTCAAACTTTATTGCGTGAAGTTAATGTAAGTCACGGCGTACTAAACGAAATGTAGGGTGATTGTGTGCGCGCGGAATGTCACTGAACTGATCCTGCGCATAGTTGCGCTCGCTGCTAACTTCATGTTATAAAACTTATTTTGGTTTATATAATTTATCTTTAATCTGAAATGTATTCAAATATGTGAAGTCAGCTGTTCGTTCTTTTCTGTCAGTTAAAAAACTCTTACAACACGCACGTTCCACTTTTTATTTCAATAATTTACAACACTTCACAACCGCCATAAAATATGAATCGCACTATAACTGCCCGACCACGACTTTTGGCTTAGCGATGAGCGCATTCGGTAGGCTGGGCTATAAGCGGGTTGCAGACTAAAAACTAAGCTATTCCAAAGCTAAACTAAGCCAGCTTAACTAAGCTAAGATATATGTCCCGCGCGCACCAAGAACTAACCGAAATCTCAGTCAGTGTTGCAAAGGTTAAATTGATGGATTTCGCTAGCCATGAATATAATCGATGAAGAAAGTTCCGATGATGAATACGTTAAACATAGAAAAGAAGATTAATATTGACTTATTATTTTAAAAATAGACATTCCAGACCTTGGATATTTCAACACATTCAATTTAAATAAAATATCCGTATTTGGTACAAAATACCGTGCGATACAATAAACTGGATATCACTGGCACGAAGGAAGTTCGGGGTACGCGAGAGGGCTTAACTTAGCACGTGTAGCTGCGCAATGGCATAGATAATAATGGCATATTTTAGTAAGCTCACATAGCTTAGTTTGCAGTCTGCACACAAGTATAAAATTTGCGTCAGCTATGTGAGTTAAGCTAAACTAATTTAGCTTAGCTCTTGGTCTGCAACTAGGGTTTCTGCTCGAGAATTCTCGAACTCGAGAAGACTCGATAAATCCGCCTTGGTTCGAGACGAGAAAAAAAATCTCATGCCTGGAGTATTCTCGAGGCACTAATTCAAAGTATTCAAGGAAGATTTTTAAGGGTTTTCCGCGTAAAACTGTCCGCGCTCACTGCGAGCAAGTTGTTTCACACACACGCCTTACAAATTACTTACTACAAATCAGGAGAGCCACAGGAAGTAGTGACTTACTTAGTAATTAATTTCAAATTATCTTTAACAAATTAATAGGGCGTAATCATTTTCTTCAGAAAGTTTTGCTTGATATTTCTAAAAGATTATGCCTACATGCAGCAAATTTTGGATATAAACTCAGGCTTGTTGTGGTACCACCTTAAGTTATCTGTGTTTCCATTAGTTGTTATTGTGATGTTTCTGGTATATTTCATCTCAATGATTTCAAAGTTAAAGCTAATAAATACAAATATTATGTTATTATTAGAGCAATAGCTTCTTACTAAAGTTTCTTGTTTCTAGAGATTTTAAGTGTTCCTAATTCTTGTCAGTATAAAGTTTTTATTTTTAAGTATTAGAAGATTTTTGTTTCATTTTTTTGATGAGTTCAGTTGAAGATAGTAAAAATACGTTACTCTCGTGATTATTTACAGTGTTTCCTTTAATATTTATTACTTATTATATGCAAATTATGTCTTCTTTGAAAGACTTGATAATTTGGCCTCGAGAACGAAAATAGTTCGAGAAATCAGAAACCCTATGTGCAACCCTCATTACGCCCGTCGCTAAGGGCTTCGCTTTGTGGCGTGCTAACATTTTAGCTCATTTGTTTTCATCGCTCGACGGGTCGTTCTAAGCCGTCGCTTATAGCGACAAGATCGTGGCCGAGCCGTAAAGGCAGCTATTCACATAAAATGTTAATTAGTAACATAATATTTAACCATATTTAAAACCCTAGATTCAATATCACGATCAAAATCGTGGCCGAAAACTGGCCTAAAAGTGCATTGAATAAGTTAGTTTTTGTACGGAATTTGCTACAAATGGGTAATCATATTGACTTTTCAAGGGTTTGCGTGAGTAAGCCCTCTTGTTAATTACCTTTGTTTTAACGGGACGGTGCGGAATAATTGTCTTTTTTATCGATGCGTTGTTAGACAAAGACAAACGAAGCTTATGCGGTTTTTAAGCACTACATATTTGGGACACTTTTCGGGCCTTTAAGGGTTTTTAATATCGTTCATAACACTGCATTTGCCTGGTTTCTGGTTACCCTCCCCACACGGTGTGACGTCACTAACGTGTGTATGTTTGCTCGCGTACAGCACAGGGCCGAACAGAACCGCAGCCAGGAGCAGCTGGTGAGACTAACGCATATCACGCCCCATATGTGTAGCTTAGGTGTTTGTTAATTGTTGTTTTGTGCGTGTTGTATGTTTGTGTACGTTGGTAGAATGTTGTTGTATTTATTTCCCGTTATTTTAGTACAGTTATGTTACTTAAGCTCCATTTTCATGGTACATAATTGTTGAGTTATTATTTTTTACTGCGACTGGTGTCGATTCTGGCATGGTTCTCTAAACCTTAAAATTAAAAAGAAAATGGCTCAAAAGTGGTATTCGGTTTCCGACAGCGACGAAACATATACAGGGCGTCCCACGGCTTCCTCACACGGAGGGAAAGTATATTAATTTTTGAAGATAGGATATTTTACTGAAAGAAGACATCATTTAATTTTTAATAATAACAAGAACTGCATTCTCAGATTTTTATAAATCACTTGCTACATCTGGGAATCAAACTCGGTGAAATTCGAAAAAATAACACAACATATTTTATGATAACCACCGAAACGGTTAATCATAAGTATTATTTTTTGTTAAATATTATTGCATTTTAAATGAAAGAAAAGTAATTTAATTTAACTTTTTATTCTAGTTCTAGTTATTATTACAAATAAAATGATGTCTTCTTTCAGTAAAATATCCTATCTTCAATTTTTAAAATACTTTCCCCCCGTGTGAGGTAGCCCTGGGACGCCCTGTATAAGTTGAAAGCTTGTTCTATATTATAACCAAAGACTTTATATAATACCTAGACTGTGCACCATCGCGTTAAAAACGGTCCGGGCGAGAGGGCTTCCAATGGTAGTGTGTTCCTTTCTAATGAAGTGACCATATTCAAGCGTAACGCGGGACAAAATTTGTTATTAGTATTTGTTATTTAATATAGCTTGTAAAGAGGATTGTCTTTAGTATCTGCTACTGTTTAAACATGTAAGTAATTTGTGATTATGAGTTAAAATAAAAACTACATGGCGTATTTTTTAACTTGCTAAGTGCATCATACAAAGACTTAGTGTAATAAAAAAATACACTAAGTCTTTGTATGATGACAAATTTCGACGACGCGGCCTGTAAAGGCTGCGAAACGTCAATAAATAAATAAAGTTTCGTGCATTAACCCGTGAAAAACTAGTTTTATTTAATGAGTGATGTGCGTGAAAACCTAAGAAACAATAATGTATCATCAGACTTACCATTAATTTGACATAAATGCCAATACCTGATTTTGGCATCTTTTTTTGCTGTTACATAGACAAAAACTTATTATTTTACGTAATTTAGACTATGTAGTGTTAATTAATATGAAAAACCTCATCTATGCATATACCTCTAAACGCAGACCAAACGAAGTGGTTTTGAAAATAATAATACATAGGTACTATGAACTGTTTCATTCGGTATTTAAACTAGCACGCGTAGCTTGGCTTGGACTGAGATTAGATAAAGAGGGTGGAATTTTGTAATGCCAGCCACCTGAAGGGAAAGTACTCTTAAAATAATGTTTATTAAGGTAAGGGGGACCCACATATTGTGAGGTAGATAAATCGGTCAATGCCAAATCAAATTCATCAAATTCTGGACGGAAAAAAGACAATCATTTGTTTACAATATTTTTATTAAAATTGGTTTTTATACATTGCTAAATAATATAGTTTTGCGCACTTAAGGACTTAAGGACTTCCCGTAGCTTCTAAGTCTTATTTAAAATGTCTTATTCATATTTAAAATGCGAACTGCAAACAACTGACGACTTAGAAATTTTTCCAGGCACTGCATTTTTCCACATAAACTGCTTTTAGTTCTTCGGAAATCTACACAATACAAGAAAAAAAAAATTTTTTTTTTACTATTTTTGTGAGGAGCTCGATGGCGCAGGTGGTTAGCGCGTTCGGCTGCGATGGTTGAAGTTAAGTAACTTTCGCAGTGGTCGGTCATTGGATGGGTGATCAAAAACATCTATCTCGAGTTCCTCCGTGTTTCGGAAGGCACGTTAAGCCGTTGATCCCGGCTGCATCTGCAGTCGTTAGCACCCGCCAATCCGCACTGGGCCCGCCTGGTGGGTCATGGCCCAATCTCCCTATTCCATCCATAGGGAAGGCCTGTGCCCCAGCAGTGGGGACATTAATAGGCTGATGATGATGATACGAATCTAAAAAAGCTCTAAAAAGGACCTACGAAACAAGGAAGTAACCGCGACCGCATTATTTAGTAATTGATTCATTAAATTCACACAACTCATGTTAAGAAAAGAAATCTCATCTACCTCCAAAATTCATGGTTCACCTAATGAATATGATTGTAAGTTTTACTTACCCGTGAAAAGAAAAAGGGCTACCGGGATAAGATTCATTGTAGCACCCTGTCACACAACACGAGTTCACCATTTAAAAAAAATACACTTTATTAAGCAAATTTACAATATTTCAAATCAAATTGTCATCAAGTGTCATCATTGACATTGTCATCAAGTGAACAAATCACCATCTTACATTCAGTATTACCAGGCTCAACTAATTAAATACTACTTTTACTCTGTATTTAGATTTATTTTAAAAATATTAATGATTATTTTATTATTTATAGGAACTGTAGAAATGTTTAAATACGTTTCATAGTTTACGAATCGTTCGTATCGGTAATTAATCAGTAAATCACAAATAGAAAAGGATGACATTTTCTACCATTTCTACCAAACCCAATGATAAATTGAGCTGGCAAGACGTTAGAAAGGGACACACTACCGTTGGGTGCTTTCTCACTCAGGACCGTTTTTACAAGCGAGCGCTTATCAAGATAATAGCTATCCTATTACTACAGATATAAATCTTACTTTAGATTAACTATTTTTTTTCGTGCACAGTCTAGGTACTATATAAAGTCTTTGATTATAACATGAACAGATACTTATATGTTTTTATTTATCTCCGATCCATTTTAAATCAAGTTTATAAATTGAACAAATTTGTAAGGATGCTCTGGCCACCTTGTAACGTATATAGTAACGTCATATTTGGAGTCTGCTGCAGACTGACTACCACCCTTCATACAAATTTGAACCATGTCCTTTGCCAATAGTTTATCCTTGTCATTTTCTATACATAATGAAAAGGAGAGACTGATCTTAAATTTAGTTTTAAGTTTAGAGAATCATGCCAGAATCGCCACCAATTTTGCTATGAACTATGTTGTGATTAATTTAGCAATTTATTATTTCACCATTTTGCTCATATTATCACTAACTAGAATCATCTAGTTTGCGATAATATAAGTGAAAGCGACTTAGGCCCATATTATAGAAAGATTCTCAGTGATTGATCTAGTCTTGAGCATAGTTAGAAAGGGATGTCGCTATATATAGCATATATAGCATAGCGACATCCCTCTCTTACTGTACTCAAGTAAAGATCAACACTTAGTTGTCATTCTGTAATACGGGCCTTAGAATTTAATGGCTATCAAACTATTATGTCCGAAGCGCGTTCAAATTTCGTTATTTCTAAATATATTTAGTCAATTTCGTATTAAATTTGCAGATTCAAAATCTTTTAAATAATAGGATAATTTTATTCCAATAACTGAAAAACTAGTTTGTTATTGCGAATAGAACTGTTGCTATGTATATTAAATAGATAATATGCTGTGGGACACAAATACTTAAAAACTTTTTTATATTATGTTTATCATTGAATTTGAGCATGTTGTATCAGTGAGTATGAAGCACGTTAGATGTGAAAATATGTAAACAATATTGACTCACGCATATACCTTTAAAAAAGTTTATTATATATTATATTTTTAAGCATTAAGCTGCTAGATGTTTAAATCTTAAGAAAATAAATCATCAAATAATGGTATTCGAACCACATCTTCAACTATCTATTTACCTTTTATTATAATATATAATAAAAAATTAATCAATAATCTTATTCCATAACAAAATATTATTAATTTTAAAACAAAAAAAGAACAAGTTATGTACTGTCACATGATGCAAATTTTACATATTTTTACATGACCGTACATATTTCGGTGTAGCTTTGTGTAGTTTTTTGTGTTGTCTACTATTTTAATTCTTCTGTATGAGTAGTTATGTTGTGCCAACCAAAAACAAACTTATAGTGCTTTAATATAAAGTGCCTTTTTACGTTTAAGGTTTATAAGGTTTCATATTTGTTTGACGACCTCCGTGGCGGAGTGGTTTGTACGCCGGGTTTCATGGTGACGCCGACTCGAGAGGTCCCGGTTACGAATCCCGGTGGGAGCAGATGTTTGTGTGATGAATGCGAGCATTTGTATTCCAGTCATGGATGTTTAATATGTATTTCTATGTAAATATACTTAAATATATACTGTATATGTATTCTATCTGTTACCCTAGTATCCCATAACATAAGCCTTACAGTGCTTACTTTGGGGCTAGGCTAATTGGTGTGAGTGTTTGAAATAATTATTATTATTTTTTTATATTTGTTTATTTTTCTTATTTCACAGGATGAGAACGAAGGTCCCGTGACAAAGAGTATTCGATTAACTGCTGCTCTCATTTTGAGGAATATTGTTATATACTCAAATACTGGTAGAAGGTAATATATTTTTAAAAACATAATCATGTTATAAATTAATTAGGATAAGGCATCAGTTAATAATGATATGTAACTTAAGATTGATTCAATCGAATGTGCATTTTCTTATAACATTAGTCAGAAACGAATTGAAAATGACATTTTGTTCCTCGCTGGATGTGGAAAATCGAGAGAAGGTCTGCATTTACACTTTTAATTCGTTTCCTTTTTGCCCAAGTTATATCGAATCGGATTATTTTTTTTACAGTATCGCACGATTAATAACGATACAAATGTTGAGTTATTTTTTTTAGTTTAACCAACGTTTTCCCGATACACTTAATTGTATTTTTTTGTATGCAATCTGTTGTGAAAGCTGCAATAAATAAATAAACCTCAACTTATCGCAGGCAACTCCGTTCGTACGAGGCTCATCTGGCTTCGATCGCGCTCAGCAGTGTAGAAGCTTCCAGAACGATCTCTCAAGTGCTATACGACATGAACAATATTTGAGAATCAGTGTAGGGGCAATGCCCCAGTTTTTTTAACGACGACGCTTCTTTACAATGAGACGAAACATTAATCTATGCCATCACAGCTCACCTTTAATTGAATACTGACTTGACTATCAAAGACTTCTGTCTGCATTTTTTTTGTATACTTCCGTGCGGCCAACAAATAATGTGATTGTGATAGGCAGTGTCAGTTCCTTAAGTTAACAGAATTAGAGTTTAAATCTAAAGAAACTTTTCATAGAAAAAATCCTCACGTACCAGACAGCAGACGGGACTCGAACCCGCACCCTCCGCTATCCAGGCGGATGCACTGTCCATTATGCTACCGTTAAGTACCGTTAAGTTTTTAGAGCAGAAATAGAGTTTATTTTGTTTGTGTTGAATGTGAAGTTTTTCTATGATAAAGTACTTAAAGCTGAAACCCCTATTAAAATATCCAAAATTCTGATTTTCAACTGTCATTCCTTTATGTATAATGGCTAATCACTTGACAGTAGCGAGGCTGTGATGATAAGTCTCAAAGCAAACTATCATAAAAAGGAGAAAAAGAGAAGTTTATTTTCGGCTCTCTTTTATTCTGTCGCCATAAGGAACTGACATTAACGCATTCTTTCAGTGGCCGCATTATAATCATTCAATCATTGAATACTGGCATATTAGCACTTAGGTCAAATTTGAATAACTTACAATATTGAGGTGTTTACACATTTTTTTGTATACTAGGTATGTGTCTAATTTTAAAGTAAGCTATTAATGACAGCGATATTTCTGTTTGAACAATATAGATGGCATTAGGACAACCTTTTGTTTGTATGTCTTAAGTACTAATAGGTCAGTATTCTTTTAAGCGTGCTATAGGTTAATCAAAGTTTTCATTTTGACATGGGGACTTTTGCATAAAAGTATTTTATAGTTATATGAAGAGTATTTTGGATACTACCGATTTGGTTCACGGAGAATGATAACCTTATGCGTTTTTACGAATGTGTGGCCTAGGTACTGTCATTTAGTACCTGTCATTTAAGAAAACCTTAATTGGCGTTTGTTATGTGCAAAGTGGACCACTGTCCTGCTTTTTTACACTGAATGCTAATCATAAAAATCAAAATCATTTATTCAGTTTAGGCTGTTACAAGCACTCATGAATGTCTAGACCTTTTTTTTTTTTTTTTGTGACGAGGGGAAATGCAGTTACGCACCATACCGTGACGCTGACTAGGCGCACGGCGTGTGTGGGACTCGCCGGCACGGGAAACAGTGCCGACCCTACTCAAGCAGGACCAGTGCGGAAGGCCACACTGATCCTACTCCACTAAAACCCCCCGGTACCCTCCTACGCCCATATGGGGGCGTCTCGGGGCCGACGCACCTGCGTGCGCCACATCTCCGAGCACGCCCTCGGGCAGGCCCGGCCCAACGAGTGGACCGGGCGACGCGCCTCAGGGGGACTGCGCTAGGGTACTAGGCAGTCCCCAGACGTGGTGGCCTATGCCGGAGCGGCACCTAGGACGCGCGGCTGGTCAGGCTGCGCCCAGACCACCTTAGGGCCGTCGAAGACCGGCAGTCACCGCTGCCTGCCTTCTTCGGCCCACCCGTCTACGCCGGAGAGGGGCGGCTAGAGCGTCCTCCTCCCGCTCCCTCTCCGCTGCCTCCTTCTGCGTCATCAAGAATGTCTAGACCTACGCCATCGGTTCGTAAATCTACGGCGGGAGACTTTATACTGAGAAGAACCGGCAAGAAACTCAGTAAGGGCTGTTTTTTCTCCCTGTTTTTTGCTTAATCCTGTACTTACATTACGTGACAATTTACACTGTATTTCATAGGGAATCTGTATCTGTATAATAGCTACAACTATTACGGCTCAGAGACGTCAGTAAAGTTTTAGGTTTAAATGTTGCTGTCACTTCTTTCGTTTAGAAGACAAAAAATTTGCTAGAAAATTTGTAATAAAGCATTGTATTTAATGCACGTCTTTTAACGAAGATTTGTTCAATAGATCGAAGGCAAGCTAAATCGAAAATTATACAACAACAACTTATTGAAAAAAAAAATTTTAGTTTTTTTAAGCTTAGACTAGGTTATATTGTAAGCTATAAAACTGGCAGTAATTTTGAGAATTGTAAATAAAATGTATTCATGTCCTATTTGTCGAGAAAACTTGGCTAGGTATTTTTTTCATTCAATCACGAATTAACTAATAAGTTATAGTAAAAATTTGATTTGGTTTCAACTCATTTTAGGGTTGCAATTTTATACGCAACGTACTGTGTAGAACATAACCTGAATTTTAAAATGGGACATTATTGCACACTTAAAAGGTGCAATCACAAGTTAGAGTAAGCGAAATTACAAAACAAATCTCTCTTTTCTACTGAGATGTAGCTGTAAGTTAAAATTTTCTTAACATTTTTGCTCCAGTCAATTTATTTAGTGCAAATTTTTCTCAACAATAATTGAAGAACTTTTTCTCATGTTTAAAGCATCATGTATCATCTGAATTAATCGAGTAGAATATCAATATATTTATATTCAATACAAATAACTTCTTAAAATATTGTCCTATTTAGGCGAATAAATGGTTTCTTTTCTTTAACAATATTAGACAAATAAAAGCTTTTTTTTTTTAAATAAAAATGTTACTTATATTTATTTTGTAAGATTAATGTATTTCTTTGTCATTATGTCCACAAAGTGTTACTTTGTACGTCTACAACTCAATAGTTGTTATTGTGTGTATCAAGGGTCTCATGTAACAACAATTTGTTACATGAGACTTTGATGTAACAACAATTTGTTACATGAGACACTTGATTTGTATGCCTTAATTTAAAAGGATTATTGACACCCATAGAGAGATTTGTTTACAAGTGGGTTAAACAAATGTTAAAATATCTTTATTTAAAGAGAGCCATCTCTTGGAATATATGAAGAACTATGAAATTTCATTTACAAAACAATTATCGAATTGCGTGAAAGACTTGCTCTTCTGACTTGTCTGCTAGTGTAAGCATTTTATAAATGTTATCTGGTCAATGAGACAGTTTATTTCTATAACTATTTTTCTACATTTGATATTAAATATTTCTTATCATCATTGTGAATGTTGAATTCATACAAAAATCTATAGCGATTCTATTGCAATAACATTGAACTGACATTATTTGATATGGATAGTACATAGAGCAACATGACCGATGCGGCCACAAGGGAAGTATGCATACACAGCTTTCCCCTCTGTCGAGGTGGGCATACAAATTGGGCATGCTCACGATATATATATATATATATATATATATATATATATATGTGCTGCATTTCGCGGTGTATTGTGTCATTATTTATGTGTGAGTGTCGATATTACAATTTTGTTTTTTGACTCATGTACGTTAAACTGCATGTGTGTGCATATTTCCCACGTAAAAATGGCACAATTATTTGAATAGTATAATGTTGCTATGTCTATTACTTCCCGTGTTGCTCTATGTATGGGCATGATACTGGCGCGCACTGCATTTGTAATTAATTAGTAAATAATGTAACATGTCACTGCTTTTAGTAAATTTTAGATGGTTAAGTATATTTTTTGTAATTCTGTGATTGGCGTACTAACTTCGAGGTAAGTAATTTATGAGTGTAAGAAGAAACAAAAGGCATTGGAAATAAAAGAAAGCAGTATCTGGATAATTTGATTATTTTTTTTGTGCCTTCCATTCTTATAGCATTCTTGAAATAAATCAACCATATTTTCAGAAATTAAAGCTAAATGAAAAAGCCTAACTGATGAAGAGGGATTTGAGGAAAATTAGGTCACTATGGTCGTTTCAAGTTTAAGTGATTCATAAACACTTTTGTTTGTGATTGCCCTTTAGTGGAAAATTACTTCGGTTTATCATTAATTACAAGTAATTAAAAATTATTATGAATTACTAGTTCGGTTATCTACTAACCGGGCTACTACTGCTATTGTATAAAGGAATAAATGATTGTTTTTTAAAGCTTTTCACCAATGTCGGTATTGGTTATTATTGATACAAGTTCTACAGTCCGGGTGATGTGTACAACGAAACTACTGAGATGGAAAAGTCTTGTCAGTTCGGTCGATTGGACTAACAACCGAACTACTGATAGTTGGCCATTAAGCGCTCTGGTCAATTTCATCAGACATGGATGATAAAATACCATCAGTCAACATTAGTGACTGAAAAGTCATCAGTCACCCCATTAGACGACAGGTCATAACCTTGACTGCCAGTAAACTGTCAGTAAAAGATACCATCTAATGGGCGCCTTACAAGGCCGAAAAATGTAACTCTCCGAGTATCAGGCTGAAATCGAACCGACACCCCTTTTTTAACATGGGGAAATGCATGACGCGTCATCATCAGCCTATTAATGTCCCCACTGCTGGGGCACAGACTAGGTTCGAGTTCTAGGACATTCCGAGTTCCTCTTCAGATGACAATATCAAACAAATATTCCAAATCAGAAATAGCAGACTAGTAGTAGGTACTTGTAATAGTTTATTTTTGTTTAAATAGTTTTTTCTTTGCATTTGAAATCATCATCTTGGACTCAGCTAAAAAAAGAGCTAATAAGCACTTCGGTAAGCAGGTACTTCTAAAAACATTTAAAGCTTAATCTTATTCACAATCTTGGATTCGGTCAAAAGGAGTAAGAAATGGTTACTTAGGCTAGCACTTCTAAAAATCACGTTGTGGCATTCGTGTAAATTTCCAGCCGAATCGTTAGTTACCTAAATACAGTTGCTTAGTTTCAGGAAAGGCTGTTTTTATATCTCATTGTTTTAATCACACTAATATTATAAAGGCGAAAGTTTGTGAGTGTGTATGTTTGTTACTTCTTCACGTCTAAACGGCTGGAGCGATTTTAATAAAATTTGGTATGGAGTTAGCTGACACCCTGGATTAACACATGGGCTACGTTTTACTGCGGGAAAATCTCCCTAATAACACCGCGGGGCACAGCTAGTGAAATATAAAACGGGTTATGTTCTGCAGCGCTGTGGCTGTCGTAATTAATGTTTTGAAGCTGGATGCTGCGGTTGTGGTCCCTTTGTTCGCGGCGTGGAAGCAGGCCAGACACGAATTAAGTTTTGAGCGTGAATTTTTTTTTAATGATTCGTTTAGGTACATTTGTTTTGATTATCTCATTCCAAAGTAATATTACTGTCACCAACAAGGAAACTTAACAGACGACGTGTGTAACTACTAAGGTACCTAATAGTTTTCCCCTGTTCCATATATCCCTACTATCATATCTTCACTAGTAGGGATAATTGGATATTTTTTTTCATTTATCGCTACCGCTTGGTTATGGGTACATCATCGGCTATGAGTCTTCTAGCACGTCTGCCAATAGCTTCAAAGGTTTCAAGCTGGAGGCGAGCGGATCCCTCGCACAAATGGAGCTACTCCATGCAGGAGCAAACTTGTGCTGAATAAAGATTCCGTAGTTGGGGTGGAAAAGTAAAGATTTTGCGGACCTTAGAAAGAATGTCATATTTTTTTGACGTAGACTTAGCCTTTGACTGTTTGCAGCTTTAAAATTGAGGCTAGATGACCAAGGTGTTGCAGGTGTTGGGTTATTGGCACATTTCGGAAAGCGGGCCCATTCATGTTGAATGAGGTCTTTTTCCTGATTCAGACACCACATGATAATCCACTTCTTTAATAAAACAACGATATATTTTATCTAAAAACTAGTGCGAGATGGTCACGCTGAATTTTCTAGGATCGGGGAAAACATTATTTAGTACCTAGAATCAGGGGCGTATTTTAAAGTCAAGCGCCCCGTGCCACTTCACATTTACCCTCTCCTAAAATTAAATAAATAAAAATAAAATTTATATTTATAACACTCATACCAATTAGCCTAGCCCCAAAGTAAGCACTGTAAGGCTTGTGTTATGGGATACTAGGGTAACGAATAGAATACCTATACTGTACATAATTATATAAGCATATTTATATGGAAATACATATTACACATCCATGACTGGAGTACAAATGCTCATATTAACCACACAAACATCTGCCACCACCGGGATTCGAACCGGGACCTCTCAAGTAAGCGACACCATGAAACCCAGCGTACAAACCACTCGGCCACGGAGGTCATCTACTTAAAAGATAGGTCCAATTAGATCAAGGAAAGGTTAGTAACGAATGCCTTTATCTTCTGCCACCCCTCGCGACGCCCCCTAATGGTCTGACGCCCCGGACCATGGCCCTTTTGGCCCTAGCGAAAATACGCTACTACCCTGAATCCGTACCGGAGGTGTTTTTAGCAGAAGTTTGTAGCTTGTTTCGGTTGTTGTTGCACGTAGCGTAACATGCTACGAATAGTTTGCTACGCGATGCGTCAGACTACGATATTTGTTCGTAATTTTGCTTGGATATTTTCTCAGTTTTAGTGTCCGTACACAAAGGGTAAAAACGGGACATTATTACTAAGAATCTGCTGTCGTATGTCCGTCACGATGCTGTATCTCGGATGATGTATTTGTGTTGCCGCTATAACAACTAAAACTAAAAACATAGTAAAATAAATATTTAACGGTGGCTCCCATACAATGGACGTGATTTTTTTGCTGAATAATATAATATAGTGTCTAATGTTGTATAGATAATTGTACTAGGCCGGTTTACGATGTGTAACATCTTTCCTCTCGCTTTCCTGCAATTTGTGGGAGTGATTCCGTAAAATGGGACGGAAGTGTGTAACAGAAAGTCGCGAAAGTCGCTATTTGTTTGATTTTAAAACATAATGTTCAAATGGCTTATTCCTTTTGCAGTAGGTTTTATTTCTTTTTTTATTGATATAAGGTGAGGTTTTAAATTTACACATCATACGCGACTACTGTAAGGCTCGCTCGTTTGTTTTTTATATTTTTGGATTTGTTTGGATT